TCGCTAGATTTTTTGATGCAATAATTGATTTCCTTATTTCTCTTTCTTAATTCCTTGGAATTTCAAACGCACTCGCTATTTTTTTTTCAAGAACCTACAAAAACACAATATCCTTCAAATTCATCACTTTGACACTATGCATCAATTAAGATGAAATTCTAACATGGACACTCATAATTCTACAGCATAATTGTAAGGTATCATACCCATCACATTTTTTATTTTACTCACATTTAACAACATAAACTCTTTCAATTGTCATTATCATTCTTAAACAAAATTTCACAAACTTATCAATGGGAACAGGACAGTTTCGTTCCTTTTTTTCCTACTAGTAAAGCATGCACCTAATAGAATCAAAGCCAATACACCATGCTGGACGAATGGAGGTAGACCTTGGTTATAGAAATTGGATGTATGGAGATAGGCCTTTGTTGTAAAAACGAAATCACGAAAGTGAGATTGCAATCTTTTGAAAATTTTGTATTTCACGAAATTATTCAAACTTGGAATTCTCAAGTTAAAGAATTTAATTCTAAAATTATTCTACCAGGGTGGTCGTTCGCACAATTTTTTTTGGCTTCACCTAACTCTGACAAATTGCTTCTAACCTAATGTTCACAGAATTGCTTATGAATTTTCAGCACTTCTTTCCTCATTTTTCTCATTTCTATCATACCTTTCACCCTATTCTCTTCTAGCTAGACATCATATATTCATATATTTTTCTACTAATACCATCATTATTAAAATTCTGTATTTTGTGAAATTAGCAATCCAACCTAAGAATAACAAGATGTTTTCTTCTTCTTTTAAAGTTCCTTTTCTACCGTTAAACTCAACGCAACTGCAAAGGACAGTACTCTTGTTCCAGCAACTAAGTATGCACTCTTCCCAAAACCAGCATATAACATGCAAGTGGCAACAATCCACGAATTTACCCTGGTCATAAAAGCTTGGTGTGTACAAAGATACGACTGGTTTCAAAGGCATATAACATGCAAGTGGCCACAACTATATGTTGAAATAACTTGTTTTTTGAGACATTGAATTTACCGACCATGGAAGAATATGTACATGTACTAAAACTCGAAACAAACAATTGAAAATCTAATAGAACAAAAACAAAGGTAAACAGGATAGTCATTGCCAACATTAGAAATATTAAGTTAGAAAAATCTCATATTTTTGTTTAGTGGGCTACACGATTATTCTATTGCATCTCTGAACATTGTATTCAATCCTCAACTATAAATAGGGCATTCTCTAGTAAGAAGGCACTAAAATATTTTTCTCCTCAATAAAGCGAGGTTAGTCCTAATCCTAGCTCCTCAAACCCCACACTCACTCGCACTCAGCCCTGTTGTAGCTCGTTGTTGCGTGTTTGTGCATCCCCACCCCCTCACACACCTCTTGATCCAATGATAACACAATTTGCACCCTATCCAACACCTGTACCCAATCCCGCTCAAAGATGACCGTCTTCCATGCACTATTCACCCTTTCCTTCGCCTATAGTTGATGTTCGATGATGGCTTCTTTTACTACTCTCCTGGAGATGAATCCTTCATTCACTATTCGTAACTCTTTCAAATTAAACGATATAAAATATCTCCTATGGTAAAGGGTTTTTTATTTCCTTGCAAAATTTTATTACAAAAATGGTCATCTCAACTCTCCCCTCTCACGCAAGTAAACAATACAAAACACATCAAATGAAAAAAGTTTTGACAATAATATCCTCTCCTATTTCAAACCCTTGATTGTCTCCACAATCATATTTCAAGAGACCGCCTAGGCAATGTGGGGTTTTTTTTGCTCCACCTAATTCTAAGAAAGAAATGTATTCAAGGTATATACTTCTTATTCTAACATGTTTTCCCTCTCTAATTTTGCAATAATTGCTTTTAGTCCTGCCTTAGATATTAGATTCTAGTGTTTGTTTCATATATGATAGGTAATCAATAATTATTCCCTTACCTTAACATATCTTCTCTAACTATTGTAATTGTTAATGATGGTCTACCTCTCATTTTATCTTTTCCCAAATTTCATAATCCAACTAAAACTCACAACTGCTATGTATCCATATCACTATGGTTTTCAAGATCTTGGTACAATGAATATGATCGATACAAGTGTTCAAATTGATGTTGTGGCATTGTCTCTTGGGACATCCTCCACCACAAAGCCTTCAGGAGTATCTTGCATTATCTTCGTTTCTATCCAAAGTTGAATGTAATGCCCATGAGCTAGATAAAAATTATTGGGTGTCTTTTCCACAATCCATGTCAAGTCCTAGTAGTGTCGCATTCTACTAGTGAATTCATTCTAATATTTACGATCTAGTACTTGGATAGAGTTTTAGTTTTTTGTTATCTTTATTAATAACCATTCTTGAGTAACATTTGTTTATTTTCTTAAAGTGCAGGTCCTTCACACATTTTATCAAGAAAAAAAACTTTCAACAATAATTAAAGTTTTTCTTATTAAAAATGTTCAAGAAATATGTACAATCTCAATTTAGCTCATTTTGCAATAACAATGAAAACATTCATCAAACTTCATACTATGACATGTCTCAACAAAATGGAGTGTTGTTGAATACAAGCTTCATCATGTATTCCACCAAACCTTGATGATCCATATGAATGATTCTCATCAATTATAGGAAAATATTTAATTTCATGCTACTTTATTAATCTTATACCACCTATTGTTCTTCATGATGTCACCCCCTTCTCAATCCTCCATTAAGAGCAGTCCCCTTCTCTTATTGCAACTAAAATTTGTTATTCTATCTACTTATTAGGTTATTGATGGTATGTCATGACTAGCATAAGCCCGCATGTCAACATTTATAAGTACTCTCCCTACTTACCTCTATCTTCTTCCTCTAAGTCATCTTCTCCCCGTGCTCCTCTTCCTCCAACATCCAAATGCATCAATACCTTTGTCTAAATATCCATAGAATTACACAAGATATCTCCGTCTATCTTTCACAACAATAACCCCATCAACATTATCCAATCTACCTAATCTTTGCCTCTCGGAGAGTTATTCAGTCTACATGTACCCATTGCTCTTAAGAAAGATTAATTGTAGTGCATTGATCATCTTAGTCATTATTATATATCTTTTGCTCGTCCCTCTAGATTGTCATTTTGCCTAATGTTTATCAGCAGTTTCTATTTGCAGGACATATCAATATTAACTATAGGATCTCAAATGGAAACAATACTTAAATGAATGCCTTCTTAAATTGAAATATATTTACATTTGGTTTGGTTACCCCCTCCTTTTAGCATTAAACTAATTTTATATCAATGGGTTTACACCATTAAATTTCATCATGACGAAACTATAAATAGATATAAAGCTAGCACTGTTGCCAAAAAATTTTACTCAAATCTGTGAGATCAGCTCCCCAATTATCAGGCTGAACTATATCAATATTCTTTTGTTGTCTCCATCCATCAATATTGGCGAAGGTTGTATATGGATGTGGACAATACCTAACCTCTAAGGAAATCTCGTTGAAATCAATATATGGAGTAAAAATTAGGGTATGTTTTTAGGGAAACCCAAAGTACATATGCTCAACAAGGTTATACATAGGCTAAATCAAATCCCCTGGGCATGATTCAATAAATTTTGCATAATTCTTGTTGGGGCATGGGCATTCCAGAAGTTTTCTATGAATAAAATTTGCCTCTAGCAAAGATGTTTTCATGCATTAAAAAAATATGGCACTGACCTTCTTGAAAAAATTAGACTTTTAGGTTGCGGTCCCGCTGACAATCCCATTAACACTCAAGGATGATGCCAATGAAAAAGAAATTTTCAAGGATGCCTCTTATCATAGGAGATTAGTTGGTCAATTTATATATCTTATGATCCCCAAATAAGATATCTACTTTATTGTCGAGGTTTGGAGTCAACACATGAAAACTCAAGTACATCAAGGAGTCACCTGGGAAATGCCTACTATACACTAAGAATGGGCGCCTTAATGTGATAGCTTGTATGAGGTTGACTATGTTAGATAAATTGATGATAGAAATTTCACAAATCGGTACTAAACATTTGGTAAAGATAACTTGGTCACATGAAAGAATAAAAAACAAACTATGATATCTAGATCAAGCGTTGAGGCAAAATGCGAAGTTATGTCACACTCTATATGTAAAATGATGTTAATTTAAGACTCTAAGAGAATTTGATTTCCAATTGCAAAATATATAGTTTTAAACAGTAAGAAACATATTAACTTCAATATTATTAGTAATCATGTATTCCATGAAAGAATAAAACAAATTGAGATTAACACTTCATTCAAGATAATGTGCTATCAAAAGAATGTCATTACTCATGTTTCCAGCTCAGAATAGTTGACAGACGTAATTATCAAGGCTTTGGATCCACTTCAATTTTTCAAACTATATAGCAGGCTAGAGCTCATTGATATATATGCTCAAACTTTAAGGGAATGCTAGTGTTAGAATATTACCTTAGGAAAGTCTTCAATTTTTCAAACTACGTAGCAGGCTAGAGCTCATTGATATATATGCTCAAACTTTAAGGGAATGCTAGTGTTAGAATATTACCTTAGGAAAGTCTAGCGTTTTTTGACTAATGAACTATTGATTATTTTGTTGTACCACTTGGCATTGCCCTATTATAAATAGGGGTTTATGGTAAAAAGGACCCAAAATATTCTTCTCCTTTAATAGCCTAAAAAGCAATTTTCTAACTAAAGCACATATAAATAATGCAACAATACAACAATAATATCCGACAATTATATCATTATCATACAGATTAAATAAAAAAATAATTAAAATTCATTACTAGGATAACTTTTATATTAAGATGATGCAAAAGTGGGTAAAAAAAATACTAATTTGATATTTCAACAAACTAATATTTGCTCGATGTGAACAAAGTGCATTATTTCTCTCGAGAGCACCGCATAACATGTAGACACTCATGGAACCTACCTCATTAAAGCCTGATCTGAAAGCCTGCACTTGTCTAGAAATACCATCTTTTATAGTTGCATCAACCACCAGTGAAACATACTCTTCCAAGTTATGAATATTTAACTGAAAAAAAGATATTAATGTAAGAAGGAAAAAGTTTATAAAAAATAGGTATTATACAGATTAACTGTCACCATTTCAGAGTTCGTTGCAGAAGAAAGAACATAATCTGAATATCCAGGAAGTGTAAAATCAAGACACAAATCCTCAATTGCTGTACTCCGGAAACATAAATCAGATGCATATTCAAAATTTTCAGTAGAAGCTGATTCCAAAAATCGTTTCCTATATGAAAGAGCTTGGAATTCCAACAAGGTCCTTCCAAGCTCAGGATCAAATGACTGGATATCATAGATTCCGAGTTCCTGAACAATTCAAATGAAAGTACATTTAAGCATAAAAATTATCCTGTTACACAAACACAGAAAATAACAACACCAGGCTTGAATAACAATAAAAGCAAGCTAAAATATCATTTTGCATATGTTTGGGTAGGAAAACCTGGTCAAGTATAACTTTATAAAATGCGCTACAGAATGGAATATCCAGAATCCTCCCATCTCGAATAGCCTTTGCAACTAGCTGGCCAAGAAGGGTAAACTTCTTTATGACATCAGAAAACTGTCTGTCATCTGAGGCACAAGCTGCAGCAGCCCAAGGGCAAGGAAAGAGTCCAAAGGGAGCAACAACAAATGCTGATTCATCAGAACATTGGCTTGTTTGTGAAACGTTAAAAGAACTCTTATCCCCTCTCCACATGCCCATGCCAGCTTTCTGAAATTCATGACTGACCAACGTAAAGAACTCCATAGTAGGACCTAAGCCAGTGCCAACTTCTTCTTCATACTCCACTTCAATAACAGCCCTACTTTGAGCATGAGAAGCCATCATTTTTGCAGCAGATCCCAATATGTCACTTCGTGTAACTTTAATTTTTTTTCGGTAAGACCAAACAGAAGCTGAGCGTCGATCAATGACAGAACTTGAGCCAGAAATATTTGCTGGTTGTATTTGATTCAGCTGACCTTTACAGCCAAATGTTGTAAAGCGAAAGTACTTCCATCTAGCCTCAAAAGAAAAAAGGAAAGGGCATGCCATCATTAATTGGCCACACCATGCTGGCATGCAACCTGTAGCTAATGTTAGAGGGTCTTGCAGTTGCTGTTCAAGTTTATCAGTCAATTTACAGCTAATAAATTCAGCCTGTGGAATTGAAGGGACAACAACCTTAAGATCATCAAGATTTTCTATTCTCCCTTCAGCAAGTGATGTGCACCTTTCATAGGACAACAAATAAGATGAAAAACGATTCAAGCCTTCCAAGATTTTCATCATGAACAATAATTCATAAGACGGATTTGACTTGTCCAGCTTACAAGGTAGCTCAGCAAGAAATATGCTGGAAATGAATGAAAGCTTGTGCCATGGGTATCCAGCTTTTTCCTGGAAAATAAGTGATGGAGAATCGCAACAAGCTTCCTGCCTATGGGTTGTATTTTGTGAAGCTTTTCTATATGAAACTTTGTAAACTTCATTCCAGAATTTTGGACCAACAACCAAATCTGGTTCTGCATTTATTTGGAATTGCAGAATTGCTTGATAGAGAGTCAAGGACCGATCTACTTCTCTCCCTTCCATAGAAAATATCAATTTAGGGGTTGCATCCTTGTTACTTGGGAATGAACTTTCACTGCCTTTGGCATGCCCCTCACTAGAAGAATGAGGATCAGAGCTGCTCTCTGTAGGTAAAGCCACTTAATATGCAAATCAAGATAGGCTAGACTCGTTAAAGTAAAAAATCCTAAGCAGATCTGGTGCAAAATAAAGAACAATTCAGTCAAAACAGAGGCATATTACCTGTCATCATTTCCCTAAGCTTCATGCTGGTGTCCTCCAGTGAAGCTTGTTGCTCTTGGTTAATAAGAACCTAAAATATGAATATTATAATATTATCAGGTTGACAGGGAAAGCATTTTTAGAATAGTTTAGCCTGACTAACAGCATAAACATGAAATGTTTAGTTAAAATGAAAGAAGATCCTGGCTGTAGATATAAAGCTAAAGACATTTAAGCTTTCCAAGAGTCTCACAAGTCATGCCCGTTAAAGGACAATTTTGAAATAATATTTCAATTACCCAATTAAGAATTATCCTTAATAAAAGTTACAGCAAGGACACAGTAATTGCAAACGGTGGAAACTTAAATTTCTCCAGAATTCCAATTTTATAAAAATAATTTAAAGAATATAAGCTTTTTTTTCTTTTTTCTTTTTTTCTTTTTGAAAACTTTAAAACACCTGTGCAAAGTGATGGTATGTGTTGCATATTGGGGCATGGTTCCTGGGGAACATTTACCTCTGGGCATCTAACACTTGATACGGCAATAGAAGTTGTGGTTACATCCTTTCCTTTCTGTTCTTGTAGCTGTCCACTCATGCTTGCACCAACTTTGGGCCACAGAAAGCCTTCAATAGCAACAAATGATGAAGAAACCTCAATAGACACAACATCACTGTAATCAGATAAGTTCAACTCCCCATCTTCTCTCACAAATCGTACCCTTAAACAAGGATGCAGCGTGGAATGCCTACTTGGGATATCAGAATAACTACTTCTAGATTTAAAAAACTGGCTCACAATCACTGGAAAATTATCAAAAGATGTCAATGCATCCAGCAACTTTCGTACTAATAAGGTCAAAAGCATATCCTCCCAATTTTGGCAATCTTTAGACAAAGATATGCCAGTAAATATTTGAAGCCTCTTCAGTATGGCAAGCCAGTGACTTGTTGACATGCAATCAGAATAAGATTTGTTGAGATATCGACCATTAGACAAGTAATGCACTAAGGATCTTATGATCCCGCTCTCAACAAACTCAAAACTGGAGATAGCCTCACCCAAATTAATCTCGGCCATAACTTGCCCTAACAATTGAGACAATTCTTCAGTTTTAGCACATCCATCATTGAAAGAAGATTGATCTACAGTTTCATTGAGTGTTGCGCACATGATCTTAAGCTTTTTCAAAACCTCACTTACGCCTATTTCACAGTTCACAGATTCACCTGTGAAATAGGTAGCTTTAATGTGCTTTGCTAAAGAGAAAACAGCATCTTTCCCAAGTCTGCAAGCCTTTCTCTCTGATGTAGATGTATTTGGCGGATCAAACACATAGCACAAGCACCTCGGAACATCTCTCAGAGCTATTTGATTATCTTGCTGATCCAATCGTAGGCCCACAGACTCTAATCGGTTTTCATGCTCCAAAAGTACTTCAATAGCATAAACAACACCCTCCTTAATAAAAGAGCTTGAACACACACATGAAAACTTTTGCATGAGAAGCTCAACAATCTTTAGAGCAGAAACCAACACATGGCGATCCTTCCGTGCCATCAAACCAGCTAAGAAGCTGCCACATCAAAAAAAAATATAGAAGATTTAAATGAGAATATAAATTCTTTATTTTCTGCTGAGCACTAAAATCTCTTGTACAATGGCATGCTTTGTTTCTTAAAAAGGCATTCTAGCAAGAACATTCTAGGCACAGGGACTAGAATATGCACTAAGCAGCTTTTAAAACCTTGTTAAGAATTAGAAGCAATAAGGAGAATGACTTGCTGAGGTAGGCACTAGTTTAATTTCTCAAAAAGTTGTTGAACACCTAATGCTGCTTGCCAAATGCCATTGCCTCCAAGGATCTCTGTAAAATGGTTTGACATAGTTGAGAATACTGGAGGATTCAATGTCAGGACCTCGCTAATTTATCTCAATGGTTTTAATTTAGTGCACCAACATAAAAAGAAAAATGCTGACTCCAAATAGTTGGGATAAGGCTAATGATAATGATGACTAAAACAGAATATAAGAGCATTTGGAAGATTTACAAACATCCCTCTTGTAAACCATATTTCACTTTACATATTATTTTGGCATCTTAATTTCTCAAAGTCCCCAAAACTGCCTACCAAATGCCCAGGCCACCAAGGGATGGTTTGGCACATTACAGAAGAAGACGGGAGTAAGTGTTGGGACGACCACTAATTGAATTGAAGGGATTTTCACATGGTGCTCCAATTAAATTGAAACAAACGTAAAGAAGCATTATATCACTACATATAATAACTCAAGAACATCATTTGAAGATTAACAACCATCCTTCTTGTTGTTCATATTCACTTTCATCTGCAGTGGCTAAAGACTAGTAGAACCATCCACAAGTGATTGCTTTATTAATGCAATCAAGATCAAGCAATCTTTTTGTTAGATTAATACGAGTTAATCAAGTATTTTTTACATGCAGACATCCATACACAAACAAAAACACAGGCAACCATAACCACTGACAAAAATACACAGGCTCACATGCGCATACATCAAGGAAGAGAGAAACACAGAGATGCATAAATGAATAAATAGACACATACATACACATATCCATGCATGTGAGCATGCCCATAAATACATACATATACCAATATATATGGACATAATACACACCAGCATACATGTAAGTATGTATAAACACACATACAAGATGGAGCTTATTGTATCAAATTCATTTTTCCATTGATTTGATATTTATGATCTGAAAAAAAAAATCTCAAAATGTAACTAAACGCTAGTTATCTTCAAAATATATCATTAAATATAGATAAATACCAAAACATTCAAGATTTCACTATCATTTGGTTGTCAACCATGGTGTTCAATGTTTTCTTCAGTGGAGGTCCGGATAGCATGATAGAGAAGTTTTATTTGTATACCACAGCTGCCAAAATAGTGAAGAAAAAAAAAACAATTATTTTTAACTTCCAACTTTTTATTTCGCGTAAGATCCATGTTTTCCCATTATTTAAAATTTCTTGAAAAATAGGTCGTTCTTACACCATTATTTGCACAGAATTCCTTTATTTTTTTTCAAAAGATGCCTAGTCAAACCATGATAAATGTAAGAAGATCATTTCATGGTATTCAAATGTTATAAATCAAAATTATGATCGTATTTTGGTTATGATCAACGAAAATTTGGTAGATTACCATCCTTTCAAAAGGATAACATTCATCTCCTCAAACTTCATACCCCCCATCAGATTCAATTTAAGCTGGGCATTGCACAAATTAAGTTCTCTTCATAGGCATCCAGTACAGAAGAACGTGTCAGACAAGTAGCATCCCAATTGTCAAATAGCCCTTATTTATCCACTACTCAATTATTTTTAAAGCAAATGCCTAGTCCCAATTGTTCAGTCACTAAATTGAACAATTAATAAATAATGCAGCTCAAGCAACCTGTGCATCATTGGAAATAATAAATGAGAAATAATTACATGCACAACAAGCTAAGTGTTTATCATTAATGTTCAATGACAGACTATGTCAGTAAGAAGGATATTTAAATAAAAAAGCAAGTCTCCCTTCAGAAAATGATTTTGAAGGTTTGAGTAAAATGGTGCCAGTAGGGCCTGGACCAAACGGGCCTCAATTCAGTTTCATAAGCCTTTTGGGTTTAATGGATACATACTCTAACTGATATACTTGGTGTCAGAAGCATCTGCTCTTTCTTTCACCCTCCCCTTGCTGACCTAGACATGCTCATGAGCGTAAAACCCCAAAGACTAAACCCCCTGAGTATGTTTCAACTGACTCAGGTACCAATACCTATGTTGAATGACAATTTCATGCCAAAGCACATCTCCATGTTAACAGAAACTGGGTAAAGCAAGCACTACCAGCACACTAGTCCTACTAAACACTAAGAACATAAAATGATTTAATTCATTAAATATCTTACCTTGAAATGTTTGAGTTCTTTACAAGGTCTTGAAGCATATCAACTGTGCTGAAATAAATGATATTGATCATCACAGAAAGGCAACCATAACACACACATAAATTGGCACCAGACTTAACGACCTGCAAAAACTTGATTTAGATTCAGCCCAAGGAAATGAAGGAAACACCATAAATAGCTTCCACCCATGCACCTCAATTAAGACAGGAAGAATATCAGCTGAGAACTGATGCAAGAACATAGGTTTTTCCTCAAGAATCATTTCCTTGGCCATAACTAGCTGAATATTCTCATCATCCCGTGCTGCAGATGGCATCATATGATTTAGCAACTTTAAGACTTCATGAACCTGTAGCGCAAAAAATTACCACACAAGTTTAGCAAAATTTCATGCCATTAAGGAGGAGTCAACTAAACAAGTGAAAATGCTTCAATTCACAGAACATCATTTGTCATGGTCCATAATGAGAAACAGAAATAGAATTAGAGTATTAGAAAATGCAATGGAAACAGCAAAATACGCTCAGGCAATGAAGTGGCACCCTGATTGAAATCGCCAGACAGCAGTTGAACCCAAATTTAAACTGGACACAGTTCAACAGTCCGTCCAAATTCAAAAAGAACTACATAGATTGATGCACTTTCAAAATCCAGATTTTAATAATCCAACAATAAAAGCTGAAAATAAACAAGAGTTGCAACATATCGACGTGGACACAATATCTCAAGGTCTGTCCATGATGCCATCATATTAATGAGGCCTGTATGAACCATTGGAAATTGGGTACTGCATTCTGCATTTTGTATTGTTTGAGTTAAACAAGTTTAATTCTCGAGTTCACATTATAAATCACAAACGCGGGTAATACGACAGCAGAGATGCATTAATTAAAATAAATTTTCCATACCACTTTACAAAATAAAAAATAAAAATTAAAAAAAAAAATCTCCAGTCTGAAGAACGCATCTATTATTTAAAAACGTGCAGACATGTCTTTCTAAAAACAATAAATATGGCTCTTAAATAGAAGGGTTTGGAAAACAAGCTCCTTTTCTGATCCCATAAAGATTTCCTTCATATAGTGAATCAATTAAAGGCTTCGGCCAACTTTAAACCAAACCCCCCTCGACCCAACCCAACATGCATGCTTAAAATCTGCAACCAATTTATTAGTGCTCTTGATCCCGGAAGACAAAATAGATAATAACCATCTTGCTCTAGCAATTGGAATCAAGCTCCCACTTATATGTTTTCCAGGACATTCACAGCATATTTCATTCACTAAATTTTTATAGCGTGCCTTCAAAATAACCAATATGCTGCTGTTGTTCTTTTTATACAATTTCCACCTATCTAATTGAGATGCAGAAATTAACATGGGAATTACTTTCATCTTTGATACATAAATGTCAACAAAAAAAATTGAAAAACTGGATTAGGGCAACAAGATTACAACATGCATTATTTTAGATATATTAAGGAACCAGAATTTCAGCAACAATCTCTACCAACGGCCTTCAAACTCCACATCCAATCTGACCTAAATCATCCATATTCCTTTATATTCCACAAACCATTACAACCATACTAGTCAATTCAAGTACTCAACATCTTCTACTTGAGGAGGATTCCCCTCAATCTTGCCTTCCTTCCCAGCAAGAATTGCATGCAAATTTATTTGGTCACCAAAATTAGGAAAAAGTTTGACCTTTATGAATCAGTCTTCTACATTCATTGGGCCCTATTTAACAAAAGTTCTGATTTACCTAAATCTTTTGAGTGACTTCAGCCAATGTTTGCTTCCTATCCACATTGTTGACAAAATCAAACACTGATTTAAAAGAACTGCCAAGATTATCATGGTTGTCGAGCATTACTACTTAAATAATTTATATATCCAACTTATGAATAAAGTGTTGCGAATCTGTTTCATGGATTATGATTTTGATGATAGCAAATACTCTTGTTTCTCTACGACTGCCTTGCCTACTAGCACTTCAGATCCACAAGATCAGACGGCAATTAGAACCAGCTCAAGATTGGGTAGACTAGGTCTGAGTCACTTTGTACACTTCCCTTTTCTTGAGTCATTGTAAAAGGTGTGGCTCCTAATGCTAAGTAACCTTGCACACACACACCTTGGGAGAATTTCTGACTATTTCTTAGAGTTTACTGTTTTTGGTAAAATCGCCCGGGACGATATTTCTATCGGCCTGGACGATCGGTTCAAAAACAGAAACCCTAATCAGGGCATCATGGTTAAGGAAGCCGTCATTAAGCCGATCGGCCTGGACGATATTGTATCGGCCGGGACGATAGGCTCAAATCAGAAAGAATCAGCCGTTAGATCTATTTAGGCATTAGTTATTTTTGGACATCGTCCAGGACATCGGCCTGGACGATGCAGCACAATTATGCCTAAATTGATCAGGTGATCAAGGAAAGCAATTAAGGCTGATTGCACGATCACATCGGCCGGGCCAATCGCAGGATCGGCCGGGACGATGTCGTGGACGATTGACATCGGCCAGCTTCTATTCAGGGCGATGTTCAGGATGATTTTTCTCGGATTTGAACTAATCGTCCAGGACGATATCCTATCGGCCTAGACGATATGACCAAAAATTGTCTAATCATCCCAAATCGACCGGGTTGATTAAGCGAAATTTACACTAATCGGCCAGGACTATATGGTTAAGTTTGAAATTTGGTTATTGAGTATTGAGATGTTTTTCATCATGAACTTAGACATAAGCCTTAAAACTAAACCATTAAATTGATTAAAAAAAAAATATATTCAAACAAAGCATTTAAGAATATTCCTACTCAGGATAAACAAATAAATATATATAAAAAATCTAAAATAAATAAGTAAACAATTAAATTACTCAATAGGCACTTAGTAATAAACAACAAGCTTATGTAAACTAGTAAACATAATCATGTCTATAATAATAAAAAATAAAACATATCCTCATTCTCAAATTTCTCATGATTTAAATTCTTGTTACACCTTTATTTTTTGTTTATAACACAAATTGCATCTCAAATAATGACGGCTTCTCACTCCTAAAATTTGCATATAACATTATGCTTTCATATTGGATCCATTCTATTATTCCTCATATTTCTCATTAAAATCATTTCAGTAGTTCTCACCATTTTGAAATATGCCCAAATTGAAAACTCATCCAAAACAACGAATAAAAAATGGAGAAGATCAAGATAAACAAAATAAATTAACAAAAAAAAGAAGGGAAGAAAAGAAAATGAGGAGATGGGCTACTAATTAGCGTTAGTGGTAGCCCAACAAAGAAGAAAGCAAATGAGTGAAGAAAAGGCAAAATCAGTAACATAGTAGTGGAAATGACACAGACAAAGGCACAGCGGTGTTGGTGGCTCCTTGCATGGGTGGGATTCTCCCGCCCAATGTGTGTCCCCCCTAGTAGTGTAGTGCATGTGCATGAGTTGATGATCAAAGTTCTATGTTTTTTTTTTAATGATATAGTTTTATGCATAAATTATAATAGTAGGCAACTGGGCTTTGGGCTCATAAATTGAAGAAGTTCAACACCTCATAATCGAGAAAATTGATGCTCACACCTCACAATAAATGTCTTGGTGCCCACCTCACACAACAAAGGCGTGCGCCTTAATGACTCCACATGAGGCATAAGTATCTAGACTAATCATGTGTGCCTCATATTAGTTAATGTTAAACAATGTTTACTGGTATTGAATTTTTTGAAAAACTGCTAAATTATACCACTTACAGCTTCCATGAACTTTAATTCATGTTCTATGAATCGATATAAGTTAAAACCAATAAAGTTTGTTTTGGATCCAATGTGTTACTGGCCTCCAATGACTTTTATGTTAAAATTTATACTATTGTAATTTTTCAACAAAACTATTCATCAGGATATTATTTATCTGTAGAAATCTCCATCGATAAAACAATGTTAATAAGAAATTTAAAATGATAGTATTTCTCCAAGTGAATTTTCTATTAGTACACCCAAAGGCGACACAAAATAATTGTCATTATGCTAAAAACAATAAAGCTTATAATCATGACAATATTGATGAAAATATCATTATAGATAATGACAATTTAATCATGATACTTAAATCTTGCTCATCAGAAATCACAAATCTTTAATCAAATTCAAATCATTTTTCCTAAACCTTAAATATCTTATTTAATATTCATGACTTGTATGTGTCAATTCTTGTTATTACAAGTCAATAATAACTAGAAGTCTAGAATGATGTGTTTTCAATACTAATTTAGGGTTTAGGTAATAAAGCTTTGTTTGATAATCTTTTCTTTAAGTTGTTTCTAAAACTAGCCAAGCCACAACATTAACTTGCATGGAAAACACAAACCGAGAATACTTATCCCACAAGGAAGTGCAACTTCACCATAGCATCAAGATCAAGGAGAATGTACTTACTGAGCTACTCAATCATTTCTGAGTCAAAAGACTTACATTATCGTAAAGCAAAATAAACACAAAATTATCAAATCAAACATAAGAAACTGCATCTGGTGGTATTCTATTGTATGACCTATTTCTTATGTGTTGGTTTTGTGGGTATAATATTACTTATAGTGCATATTTCTATTTTTTTTAGAACTTGATTGATAGCACATTTATTTGTGGCTCCTATCATACAATAGGAGCGCATAAATGACTTATATGTAGTTAAATGCCCTTTTAAGATCATAGTCACTATGATTAATAGTATAAAAAGTTGTAATAAAGAAGAGCTAAGAAAACTAACTGATCTTAGGGGAAAAGGCAAAACAAATGACATAACAAATAGGAAAGAAAATTGAACAATCCATAATAAAGAACATTCAAATTAAATAACAAGGGTTGCAAGAAGAAGAAAGGAAGTGAGGAAGCATGCCAAGAATGAAAGATTGGACAAAATATAAAAGCTAATTAGGATAAAAGGTTCAAAAATATGAAATGCTTTAAGCTAAGAAAAATGCACGCTTGGTTTTTATCAAAATTTTGAAATCCACTGGTTTAAAGAAGAAAGCTTTCCAATCTAAATGGTCGTTCAATCTCAATAAGACAGTGTGAGATTCAGATAAAAATTTGGTTATGATTTTGCTAAGAAAACTCACTATGGATATATATGTCAAAGAAGTTAAAAACTAATCTTATCATATACCACAGGAATTGCAAAACTAAAAAAATATTGCTTAAGCATGATGGCTTCACACACAAATTGTGACTCTAATAAGAACTGGTAAAAACAACGTGTGAAAAAATAAAGATGGGTCAAATTAATTTCCTCAACAAATGCATCTCCAATCAAGGTATATGTTTGATGGAATTTTGTCGGCTAGCTCAACGAAGCAATTTTTAAGATAGAATTTTGGAGAGAATTCATCTTTCAAAGAAATCAATGAAATTACAATCAATCTAATATACAAAGGTTTCATAATCTACATAATAGTGAGATTATTAAGGAGTTTAAGATGACTGAACAGTCTAGATTTTGCATTGACGGAACTTCGAGCTAAGTTTAATTGTTGGATAGAATATCTATGAAGTTTGATTTATCTAATTAAAGCAACAAAAAACATTTGTTTGCTTGTGGCTGATAAATTTCTCATAACTTTATTTATGCATTAGACATAAAAGTTCAAATTGAAATCTGGCATAATATACTAGCGGTTCAAAAATAACAGTGAGCACTTACAAAAAGGAACAGATTCATCATTGCAAACCTCAAATTATCCCATTCAAGTATCCCATATTCAAAGCATCTGTTTCGAATGCAAAAATGCTCTAAAAATAATTGACAGCCTTCTAAGATTCACTCTCTTATTAGATTTATGAATTAAAAAAAAAAAACTTTTTAAATATGGGTAGCAAGTAACAAACCTGATTGCTATAAACACCATCAGGATAAGAGTAACTAGTTCCATGAGAAATTCCCGAAGCTATCAATATTCTCTTCAAACTGCTACTTACGCCTAGTTCAAAAAGAGTTCTAACAGCCACAAGAGAAGCATTGGCCAAATTTGCTAGAAGGCCGATCAAACCCTACATGTTTTCAAAGTGAAAATAGCTAAGGCAATGGTGCAATAGTAAAGACACAAAAGCCTAATAATAACTTTAAAAAGTCAATAAAGTCCAAAGGAACAGAAAATTTGACAAAATCAACAATGGAAAATGCTATAAAAGGCTTATTTGGTTGGTTGAAGTTAGAAGCATGTTTAAAAAAAAGGATAAAGTTTATTAAATACATCATGTGATTAGATGTAGTTAGATATTAATATTGATTTCAAACTTCACATATCTTCTCCAAACTCCCCCAAAAGTGATGACTTCATTTTCCACAATCAAAATGATTGAAAATGAAATCATCATTTTCTAAAACATGCTTTCTATTTACACGAAACCAAATGAGGCATTACGGGAAAAAAACAATCATACCACAAATGCAGACTGACTAAGTGTTGTCCGACCATCAACAGTTATCAAATGCAAAGATTTGCTGATCACTCCGTGCTTGCAAAGCACATCAAGTATCTCAGTAGAACTACTGAAACAGGATGTTATCCTCATCAAGCAGGTAACAGCTGTTTCTACAAGCTACAGCCAAAGAACAGGAAATAGACGATTGCTTAGTGCTTTGCAACAACAGATAAAAACAAGAAAGATACGAGAATCTTTGTTTTTTTTAGATCAAGTAAAATATGCCTTGCAGTCTTCATATTGCAGAAGATTGCACAGAGTAGGAACAGCCTCCAGGACAAGAGAAGAGCAATCCAGCGGAAGCTTCTTACACACATTTGCAACCGTTGACAAAGCCACTCTCTGGATATAGAAGAATACAAAACAAAAATATAAGTCACATTCCAAAAAAAATAACAAAGGGAACGGAGGCCCCAAGCACAAAGAGAAGCTATTTTTCTTAATTATTAACTTAAGATGATTCCTTCAGAACTACATAGATAAACTACCTGGACGCTTGTGGAGAAAAAGTCCATGAAACCCAAGACGGCCATTATCGTCCCTGCTTGTAAACAGGGCACCGGTTGCTTCCGAGATATCTTCTCTAATGCTTGCAAGGACTACATAGACATAAGCACAAAAGAATCAGCTAAACAGAACAATCTTTAATTAAATCCAATCAATCACGTTGCTTGAGAACGGAAAATCACCAAATACATACTTGCTCAGCCACGTCCAAGTACTCGATCGAGAGCAGCCGGCCACATAGAACAGACAAGGCTCCATGCCGTACAATGGCATCAGCCGCCCTCGGCATTACATCGCACAAATAAGTGATCGCTCGGATAGCCAAGAGCATGACGTCAGGGTTTCCCTCACTCCCCGCGAGTCTCACGAGCAAAGGCAATGCGTTGTCCATCGGGAAGTAACCCAATGAATCCTCCATGCAAAACGACAGGGCCTCACATAGTTCCGTCAGTGACGCTAGCTGCGCCGACGGTCCAGCGTCCTCTGAATCTAGAACGGAGATTATCCTCTGGAACCTGCCCCTACTGGCGCCGCAAACGGCAGGAGGCTGATGATGATGGAGATCGTCGTCAGATTCACAGGAGCCGTATGCTGAGTCGCCGCCGCCGCGACCGGAGGATGAGGACTCCATATCGCAATCGTGATGCTCGGAGGATGAAGGCGGCGGAACAGAGGAGGTGGATGAAGAGGAGACCGCAGCGACCGCATCGGCTGTAGTCGGGCGGAACTCGGAAGAGCTGCAGGCGCGCTTATCGGCGGGTAACTGATCGGCGACCTCGGGGCGCTTGCGACCCCTATCCATGGCGGTCTCCAGCTTGAAGAAGATGAGATTCTGTGGGCGACCGAGGAGGTAAAAGCAATTTCGATGGCGTGATATTGCGCTGGACTCGGTTTTAAGATGTGAAAATAGGTGATAAGGAAGCGGTGCTTGCAATTTTTTACCCTAAAAAGACGCGATGATGTATGCTGTCGCCGGAGAACCAGGGAAGGAATGGTAGCGACATAGCGTCGGTGATATCGGACTCAGATTCGATCGTTTGACGTTGAGGAGGCGCTTGCGGAGCTTGGGTGGAGGTGAATCCCCGTGCCTCGTTGGGACATCACTACCTTACCACTTCCCAATTGCTATGTTCTGACTACCACCAAACTGTCACTATCAAACCACAGACCGACCACCACCATTAGGCCACTATCGATTGTTGTTGTTGGGCCACCCACTAATAGTTTTCGTTAGAGCATTGTTTTCGTGCAATCATCATAGGATCACTACCATTGAATCATCCCCTAATTATAATCATTAGGCCATCGCATGTCTACAGTCATCAGACAACTATCCTATTACCGTCGTTGGAGCATTTCTAATATATTCTTCAATAATAGATATGTCAAAGAAGAACTTGAAAGTTGGATCAAAGCAATGTCACGAGGAATAGTGTCATGGCAAATAAGCCTGAAGAACAAACGTGCCACCCGTAAAAAATTGGCTTGACTTTAGAAATCATTCCAGAATAGCTCGGCAATGCATGTTAACGACTTCAGTTTTCTTTGGGACAGCTTTGTTATTATTTTCTAAAGCAATTTTTTAGTACAAAAATTTCGAGTTCAATAAATTTTTTTACTAAAAAATTGATTTAGAAAGCAGGAAAAAAATTGTCCCAAATGAAAATTTCATATGACATAAGAGGAGGATAAATTCTGATGAGAAATGAGTCCATCCCCTTAAGAGCAAAAATATTCTTCTCGGCATCATAGCAAATTCTTGAAAATCAAATTTATGTAAATGCAGGTTTAGATAACATGAAGGGAGCATTTCAAAGTATATATCTCAATTATTAAGGATCTGTCTGATATAGTTGCAGCATTTTATAAAGTTAGTTGTGAAATTATTATGTACAAAAATAATTTCATTATTATGATTGCAAAAAATAGCTTCACACCACAAACAATTTTGTAAAACGATGAGAAAGTGACAACTAAACGAAATTGTGATTGTCTGAAAAACAAAGCAGCGAGAATGTTATAACATTAGATTCTAATGCTTCGTTTTGGACAGCTTTCGTATTGGTTTCTAAAGCAGCCTTATAGTACAAATTTTTTTTAGTTCAAAAAATTTTGTGTTATAAAGCCGCTTTAAAAAGCAATACGAAAATTGTTCCAAACGAAGCCGGCTCTAAAATTGTCTTATCTATGAAAAAACCAAGAAGGGGCATTTCTTTTTTGTAACACTTCGACAAGAGCGTCAGCGAGGCCTTGCAAATGATCAATCCACGTAAGATTTTACAAAATAGAACTAATTATGATTATCGATTTCACCTCTATGTTAACTTTATCTTGGCCATTATCTAAAAGCTCGCTCACCAATGTAATCTAAGGTTCCATTTTCGTACTGCTTTATAAAACATAATTTTAGTAAAAAAACTTTTTGACAAAAATAACTATACAAAAACTCTATTTTATAAAACAATACGAAAGCTATCTCAAACGAAACCTAATGTTTGATTTGAGATAACTTTCTTACTATTTTTTAAACAACTTGTAAGTACAAAAAATTTTTAAACTAAATATTTTTTAACTAAAAGGCATCTTAAAAAAACATTCCTAATAAAACCTAAAGAGTGCTTTTACTTGCTCGCCTTTCTCAGCAAAGAATTGTTTTTTTCAACTTCTCCTCCTTTTGTTATTAATCCTTAATCAACATGTTCGATAAAAAAAGTAAGGGTAGTAGTTGAATCAATTATTGCTTCCTTTTAAGGAATTATAGGCTTTTTTGCCAACTATCTTCGGAAAGTTTCTAATTTATATTTTATTTAGAATAGTTTTCTTACTATTTTCTATTTCAAAAAAAAAATCGTAAAAAAAACTTAAACACTCTTTTTCACACGAGCTCGCCTTTAGCCTTTCAAAAATCCACAGAACATAGAAATTATCACAAGCTAATTTGGAATGGCGTAAACAAAATAATAGCCTTGCCTGGATAATATTATCCTGTAGAAGCAGCAACCAAGAAAACAAATATAATTCGAAAATTACAAAGTTCATTTCACAAAGTGCATTAGCATTTATGCCTGACTTGCCTGCATGCAGGACCAGATTCAGTTCAAAATTAAGTCTTTAGGATCTAGGTTTCTCTTTCTTCTCCTTGAACAGAGCCAGCAAAGAGACACCTGAGACCTTCACAACCTTGAAGCGAACTCCAGGGATATCTCCTACAGCATGCCCCTTCCGCCCGAATCCTGCAATCAAAACTTCGTCCTGCAAGAGACCACAGTTCATTTTGATATGGTTAACATCAGCAACACTCGAGAGATTTAGGCTTCGTTCAGGACGGTTTTACGGTCTTCTTATTGCTTCAGAAAGCTGCTTTAAGAAGCAGTAAGAAAGCCGTTTCAAACGAAATCTTATATTTGTAAACAAGTGAGGCAGGATACATTTTCCTCGATGAAGTTTAGGCAACCATCGTTGGGAACAAAGGCGGCGATCTTCTTCCCATTCTTGATTAGTTGAACTCGAGCGCACTTTCGGATGGCAGAGTTAGGTTGTTTGGCTTCAATGCCTCTGCAGGTGAATAAATTGGTTCATTTGTTAAATTGAAATCCCAAAGTAAATGATCCAAAACATTATTACAACAACAATATCAAGCCTTTGTCCCACTACGTGGGTTCGGCTACACGAATCCTTTTTCGTTATTATGTTATATTAAAAGTCAAATTTTCATTTAAATCTAATAAAGAAAGATCATTTCTAATATTGTCTAACCAAGTCTTTTTAGGTCTAACTCTATCTTTATTAGCATAAGTCAAATCTAATATCTCAACTATTCTAACTGGGTCTTCGGAAGGCGTCTGTTTAATGTGACCAAACCATCTAAGAAGACTCTCTAATCTTATCTTCCAAAACATTAAAAAGGGAAATTAGTTCTTACATTTTCTCTAAGACGATGCCTTTGGCATGAGAAGAACCAGCAAATGGCTTCTTCCACTCATTGCCAAGGTGGCTTTTCTTGTATGACTTATCAGCCCACCTTTGATTCCTTCTGTGTGTCTTCAGCTTGCGCCCAGCACCCATTCCACGTGTTTTCCTGTTGTAACAATGAATTATTATCAAATAAACCCACAGTCCAAAATGTGATGGAAACTCAAAATATAAGCTATAAGAAATACTGCATAACAATAACAATTTTATAGCAATTATAACACTCTTATGTCCATTATACTCATCAACAGATCCAAGATGAACTTTGTGTATTTCCATGCTCTTCTCCAGCTATTCGACTACCAAAACTAGATTCAGGATGAAAAAACCTGAAAATCTCACACATTGCTTGCTCGGCAAACGCAAGGCCTCAAGCTCCCTCTAATGGAGAAATTATTGGGTTCGGACACCGGATACAACTACCGTTCGGAGACCAATCAGGTGCAGCCACGTTATCCATTACCGAGCAATACCGAGCTCGGTACTGAGCAGAGTACCGAGTAGGGGGTGATGTGGTGCATTTTCATTGGGCTCTAGACGGCGTCCGGTGACCGAACCCAATAATTTCCCCACTCTAATGTAGGGTGCGGGGAGTGCAGGTTTTATGTAGCCTGTATCCTCTATATGTATAGAGATGTTGTTTTCATGACTGGAACTTGTTCTCAAGAATAGGCAAGAAGTAGTATAACCACGAATGTAAACCTGCCACACTAAAGGTGTTTATTGATAAACACTCGAGCTTAATTAGAACAACAAATATAAGACATTAAAAGAGAGAGGGTGAGAGAGAGAGAGAGGACAAAATTTTAGGAAACAAATCTCTAAGCTTTAGTGAGACAATTTAGAGTAAGATCGGAGTAGTAGAAAAGCCACATTTTACCACCTTTAAAACCTTTAGAGCAGCAAAATAGCATAAACTAATCAAAGGGAAAAAAAAAATTCTAATCAACAACAAATAGTCACGCAAGTAATATCCACTTCCCATGTTGAACTACATATTATAGCTCATTAGTCATTACAAGTTCAAAAAATAAAAAGCAATTGCCCTCAAATCTAAACTCTTGGATCTCAGATTCTGGTGCATATCTCCTAATCCATCTTCTCTCCACTGATTTCATCCTCCAAAAACTACCACACTCATAGACCATCATCTGGGATGGAACCAGAAAGAGTTCAATATGAGAAATTATCAACCCTGAAATTTTTTTTTTCTTAGAAGAATAAGCATTTTAACTATTTTGCCCTCATTCAATAAATGCAATTGCCCAAATTTTAAGAAATTTTCCTTTTTTCTATTTCCTACATAATATTATACATTTCATAATCTAATTTTTCTCATTCTTAAAAAAAAGGCTAGTTCTGCCCCTGACCGTCATGGACACCTCATCTGCCTTCAATTTATACTCAAAAATTCTCATTACTCAATCACTAAAACTTAATAAAAATAACATGCATCAATGCATGCACCAAATCTGGTAAGTTTCCTATGAAAATAACGGCTCACTTCAAGGCAAGATTATTGACTCAATCCCAACGATGACTGGATGCCTACTCATATCCTCTCTCTATCATTTCAGGAAAAATCATAACTAGAAGAGATACTTATCAAATTGAAATCTTCAGCCCATTCCAAAATTACACTAATTTTTAGCAAGTTTAGTTTCTCATTGATCTCCTCATCCAAACTCAGACGCTCCATAATAATCCATCAATGACAGCCATTTCACAGAATAAGGAAACTCATAATGCTCATCATTCCTGGTCAAAACACACCCACTGGCTCTGATTCCATGCAAAGCTCACCAACAGTCTTTCTAAGATTGTTACCTTTGATCTTCAACACCTATTTCATTCAAACCAAGAACAAGGATATAAAGCTTTTCTCGTTTCATCTCCTCCTCACTGTTCCTAAAAGTGATTAAGAGGGATTATGAATGGAACAAAAAAAAAAAGAGGCCCGCCAAAAATAGCCACCCATCACTTCTTCATGGCTTCAAAAACAGCGTCTGCAAACACCACTGTAACTGGCTGCTGACTCCAAAACTCTTCAAAGCTGACCTCACTTCATCACTAGTATCATCATGTCCATCAGCAATGGTTTGGCACTCATACTCAACATAGATTTTGTACATGGAATTGTCAAATACATGAAGATTGTGAAAACTGGACCGAACATAAAACTGGAATAATGAGAGCTTCAAGGTTCAATAATTTGACCAAGTTAAACAAAATAATGTAATAAATATTAAAATTATTTAAATATAATCTAAATGATGTAATAATGACAATAATGCAAATATGATAAATTAAAAAAACTCGCACATAAATAATATCTTTAATAATTGCAAAATTAGATCTATAGTATTTAAATTACTGACCTCAACAAATAGGGACTAAGGCACAATTACAATGATTCGGCTACAAACCAAAAGAAGAGTGTCAAGGTTTAATGGTTTTGTCGGGATTGAACCGAAGGTTCAACCAAGTGATGTAATAAATATTAAAATTATTTAAATATGATCTAAATGATGCAATAATAATGCAATTATGACCCAATAACACAAATATGTGACTAAAAATTAAAAAAACTCACACAAAAAAAATATACTCAATAATTACATATTTAAACAAATTATGTACAACCAAATATCTAGAAAGTCATATTTAACATATGTCAACTCGATTCAAACCAACCCAACCCGATTCAAGCCAAGTCGGTTTGGTTCAATAAAACTCAAATTGTTCTACTATGCATAAGCTCAAAAGGAACTCTTCAAGTCTATAAATAAACTCACCTCAAGCAAGTGACTGCTATCTAAAAACTTGTCCCCAACAAGTCAGTATGGCCTATCAGGTTGTACCTAGCGAATATTACCTATAAATTTGGCCCTGATGGCTACTCAAGTGAGAAATTTCCTTCATATGTAAAGCTATTGATCAGTTATTCGACTATTCGTCCACCAATACATGTCAAGCCAGTAACTTCTTATGAACTCAATATACTTCATCAAATCTAACATTCTAATTATGCTACATAACTATTGTATTTTTCTCTTAATTTTTGTATAGACATGTATGTAACTAATTCTATAATGCTCAAGCTCCAACCCAAATATATTAATAGGGCATAGAAGAGTGAGCTCAATTTATGCAAATTTTAGTACTCAAGCTCATTTTAAGGAAATCTTGGAGCTTCTCAATTCAAAATTATTTTCTCTCTCTATTTATCTACCCTCTTCTCACTCAGTACTATCATGATAGTTTGATGTGATTCACGAGCAATTATGAATTCAACGTCCTAAAAGATGTGATGATCATAGAGAATGTCATTAACTAGAAAAGGAGTACTTCGTAGAATAGAGTAGCAACATAAAGGCAAATAAGAGTCAGTAAACATGGAGAACCATGAAAGTGTCACTGTAAGCAGCTTGCTGAATTCAAATAAATAATGCAAATAATGAGAATGATCAAGGGAGCAGTAGAATAAATTTTGAGAATCACTCGAGTGGAATTACCATCGAAATCCTCTAATTATATTGTGAGGAGAAAAAAACTCTCTAGAGCTAGAGCATCAACATCTACTCCAGTGGCTGCCGAAACCTACCCCCCAGACAATAAGGAATTAACCTCAACTCTTCGTAAAGAAAAAGGGTGGATTGAGAAGAGGAATTCGCCGCTAATAAATGCTTTCTCAAGGTGCAAAGCCTCTGGAAAAATTCAAGATTCCAGGAAAATCATGTGGCGGACCTCATCAAAATTACATTGACCCTTTTCTTCTCCGGTTACGGTTTTATCTCCAGTAACATCATCCTCTATTCAGATGATCATACACCAATGATCCATGTTGGAATCTCTAAATTCTTTGGCTCAAAAATCATTTTCACTCGAAAAAAGCCCTTAACCAATATCCAGAAATCAATAAACTTTATCGAGGGGTGCCTTACTCTGAGACCATAAGCAAACAATTAGCTAGCATCACACCAGCTACAAGGACTCCAGTCCATTAAATATAGCCATTTGAATTTGATTAAATGAATCAAACAAAGATAAAGGATAAGACGACAACCAAACGCCAATATCAACATTCAAATTCTGTACGAGTACATTATCCAATAAGAGAAACGGAGAATGAACATTAAGAAAATGTAGACTAGAAGCATCTTAAGCTAGTAGTTTATGAGATCCCCAAAATCCTCATGTATCGGGTATATAGAAACCTAAACGAAAATGCGGGAGATAGAACTATTTACCCCATCTCGAAGAGAGGAAGATCGCAGCAGGTTAGGGTTTTCACAACAAACGCAGACGACGAGAGGCTCCCGAGACCGTTTTCAGAGCCCAGAAATCTGATAAAAATGAACCGAGCGGCACGACTATATATATATATAGACCGAGCAGTGCACTGGTCGGCTCGAACGGACCGCATTCTTTTCAAAATCCGTCCCTGCCGCCACGTTAAGCGGGACCCATTATCTATAGTCGGCCTGAATTAGTTATTTTCTTAAAACCAATGTTTATAATTTTTTGTTGTAAGATCAATTTTATTTTAGACTTTTTAAGAAATATTTTTTGATTAAGGTTTAGGTTTCATTTGAAACAACTTTTTTATTGCTTTCTAAAATATCTTTTCAGCAAAAAAAAATTTAATTTAAAAAATAGTAAAAAAAAAACTATTCCAAATGAAAGTTTAATGACTTGAGATTCTTCTTCCTAACTTCTACACCTAAAATAACCCCAATGAAATTGAGGATTATATCCACCTTCCTCATCCATTGAGTAGCAAGTAGGCTGACTAGTGATCCAATTATGGTCATTACACCCTTGCCCATTGGATGCAACAACATCAAGGTTGAAGGTGAAATTGATGGTGGCGATTGCGATGAAGAAAATTTGCATAGTTAGTGTTAATGCTTGCATAATGTGCAAGTTAGATATTTATCCCTCGGAGTTCTCAAAGCACTCTCCCTTGAATATGAACTTTAATGGCCTTATTAGCTTGCTTAAAAAGAGTGTAATTGTGCGGATATTATTGATGAGTGAGGATCATCATAGCACCTTTCTAGCAACTCCACTTACTCTCATTTGATCTTTTTTGGTTCATAGATCATAAAAAAAAAAGACTCTTTTTTTAAAGAATTTCAAGTGTACATCATCACTCCCTCGTCATTAAATTGGGCAAGAATAATAATGAAAGAATCATGACATTTGAATGATTAGAATCTATTTAGGCTATGCTCTAGCCTTATGTAGAAAATGAAATTAAGACCTAACGGTTAGCTAAGCTTGGCATTAATTAAGGCTTCGAATCCTATGGATGAATTTAGTTAGGTTTGACCAAAACATAATCCTAAGTTTATGTCAAGCTAATTTAGTTTAGGTGTTGTGTTAGCTTAGGGTTTGGCCTTTAATTCATTAGGCTATGTTGACTTAATTTGAAGTTTAAAATTGATGTTAGGCTAATATTTAACTATGGTTGACTTGTTATGGGAACTTTTATTTGGTCCGGTGAACGTACGCAACTCTACGTTCGGCCGCCAGTAGAATCGCGCCACGTGTTTTCATTATTTACTGTGCGCCCCGACAACCCGACCCGGAACAGACCAAAGATTGCTCCGTATTGCTAGGTATTGGTCGACTTTGCTTGGCAATAACCAATGCCGAGCAAAACCAAGCAAATACCTAGCAATACCGAGCAAATACCGAGTTATATCGAGTTTTTTCTAGCAAAATCGAGCAAATCCCTAGCAATACCGAGCAAATCCTAAGCAAATACTGAGTTGTACCGAGTTGTATCGAGTTGTACCGAGTTGTAAAAAAACTCGGTACAACTCGGTATTTGCATGGTATTGGTCTTCACAGAGCGGTATTTCTTATTTTTGCAAAGCAATACCTAGCAAATACCGAGCAAATATCAAGCAATACCGAGAAAATCGCGAACATAGCATTCCCGGGTTCCGCTCCGGGTCAAGTTGTCGGGCCGCGCGATAAATAGTAAGACCACGTGGCGACATGTTATTGGCGGCCGAACGTAGCTCTACGTCCGGTCAGAGGACGTAATAATTGCTCGGGTCTTAGGGTGTTTGTAGTAATGTATAGAATGCAGGGTACTTAGGACAACAGTTAACAGTTTTAAAAATAGCTAAATCCAACTTATGTCATGTTAATATTAGAGAATAGGCTATATTCATCATGAGTTGGTCAAAGACATTACATAGACTATGTGTGAACTTTAAAAGGAATTCATGGTGTCGGATATAAAACCCCTTAAATGAATGATAATTGATTGCAAACATGTTCTCATAAAAATGAGAATTAATGAAAGGTATATATAAAACATTCTAAGAGCTGAATTATAAGCTAATCACATTACAAATGAATAAACATAGAAAAAAACATATAATTGTGAATGCATAATTAGATAAAACAAAAATTACAAATTGTTATTGAGTTTTGTAATACATCTAAAAAAAGAAGAAGAAGAAAATAGCTGAGCTTTATAATACATATAACTCTTTTTCATTTTCTATTCATAAAGAGTTAACAAGTGGGTCTTCTAATAAAATCAATATCAATCACCAACCAAGCCTTTTGTCTTCCTAATCATCTCAATTATTACAAAGCATCCTTAGTTTAAAAATATAAAGAAAGCACAAGTGCATAAAAACATCTTTGTATATATGTACACACGTTTTCTTTGAATTAATTATTGGCATGAAACCACCGTGCCAATCAAGCAAGTCGTGTCTTTGAGGGTATGTACTACGCTACGACACCACTATGAAACATGCACTTTACAAGGAGAAATCTCTATTATAGTGTGCACAATTATAGTCAAAACATCATAGTCAATCCACCAATATGTCATCCAACAAACAAAAAGAAAAAGCTATCTTAGCTACACCAGAATCATGTGATGCTTAAAGATGTGTCTATTACAACATATAGTATATACTAAGCTAATTTATATGTTAATCTATTAGCATATGAAATTCAAGTTATCATTTCAATTATACAATGATCAAGTTCATTTCTTTAAATATATTTTAATTTAAATAATTGATAAATAGACCCAATTTGTTCGCATATTTTTTTACTTAAGTGTTACTTCATTTATAATTATAATGAACCCAAAAATATTAAGCCCAAGTCATTTTAAAATGGTCCATGCCATGGCGAATGCACGCTCACTTGAGGTTTACGAAATAAAAATAAAAATAAAAATCTCTTCCAGGCCACTTCATATATATATAATTTAAGTGTTAGTTTATATTATAATTTTTGCTAAGATGATATATTAATGTAATTTTCAAAATTATAAAACAAATAATACGAAATTGAGGCCACCCATTTTCAAATTCAAGATCTATGGCCTAAATCATGATAATGTGCTAATTATACTAAACTCAAAATAAATTCGTCCATATATAGTAAACAAAAAATTTCCATCAAGAAATTTACTGGGAATAAATTATTAATATTTGCGTTAATGGCCTAATCGATGGCATCATCGTAAATACATGAAAACTATCGTCAACCAGCCGACGCTGTCTTCTAATTTTTTATTCGTACAACTAATTTGGATCCACCAAAAAAGCAGTAAGAGAGAATTCCGGAATATATAAGAAAAGCAGGTCAATGCTAAAAATCCCCGTTAATTAAATCCGGTGGTTAAAGGAACGAGATCGAAGAAAATGGAGAGCAAGGAATTTGTTTTCTCAGATCTCAACTGCAATTGAATCGGAGAAACCCTATCTCGCCTTCTCCCTCCAATGAGATCTCCCTCGATCTGGTGATTTTCCGGCTAATGCTCCTGAGGTAGATCGCAGGAATTCTGGTTCACCATCCATACGCAGCAGCAGCCGCGGCCGACGACATCCCAATCGCAGTCCTGCCATATCTTCGCCGGAGGGAGAGCGGACGGAGCCGATCTCCCCTGGTTGAAAGAGGAGAGAGGATGAGCGGGAAGCTGATCTCGCCGGTTCCGGCGGTCACGGGTCGGCTGTTCACCGTGGGATTGGTGATCTCGTGGTACGCGTCCAACATTGGCGTGCTGCTGCTAAACAAATACTTGTTGAGCAACTACGGCTTCAAGTACCCGATCTTCCTCACCATGTGCCACATGACGGCTTGCTCACTGCTCAGCTACGCGGCAATCGCTTGGATGAAGATTGTCCCGATGCAGGCCGTGCGTTCGCGGTTGCAGTTTGTTAAGATAGCTGCGCTCAGCTTGGTTTTCTGCGGATCCGTGGTAAGCGGCAACATCTCGCTACGGTACCTTCCGGTTTCCTTCAACCAGGCCGTAGGCGCGACCACGCCTTTTTTCACCGCGGTGTTCGCTTACATCATAACCGTGAAGCGTGAGGCGTGGATCACCTACGTCACGCTGATCCCGGTTGTCACCGGTGTCATCATAGCTAGTGGGGTGAGTTGGTGACGTTATGTCGCTTTGATTTTGTTTCGAATTGGATTGTCTGAGGAATATTTTCGTTTTTTTCCCCTGCAGATCTTATTATTCTCTTAAACTGCAATCTTTATAGTAGTTTTGTTGTTTTGAGTCTATATTCTGTTGGTGGATCTTTGGAGGAGCGCATCATATATATATAGTTTTAGCCTGTCAATTTGCCCTCTTTTTTAGTTTCTGTCATTTCTTCATTGAGAAATAATATGTCTTACTGCCGTCAGGCTCATATTCAAATTGAGTCTTGCTCTGATCTTGAACTCCTACATTATTTTATCCCTTACAGATTGTTGTTTTGTTGCATTTGCTGCTTTTGTATATTGATTCCCGAAGTTATGGTGTTAATTTGTCATACTTTTTTTGCTCATAACTTCTTTTTTTGTTGAATTAGGAAATGACGCAGTTTGTTATTTTCTGATTAACGTTTCCTGGAAGACAGGACTAAAACTCATTAATAGTTCACCATCAGCATCATAATTAGTCTTAGCCCAACTATTTGGGGTTAGCTTTATAAATACACCAATTCAAGTTGAGGGCTGTGTGATATTAACTTTATTTTGCAACTCTTTTTTGCATTGTCCAATTCTGATTAACTGGTTTTCATTGAAATTGGGTTTGAACTGAAGTATCTGATTGTTATATTATTAAAATCTTAGATTATTAGCATTATTCTTGATTAATGAAATAACATGTTTTGTTTTATTTTCTTCTTTACTTCGTAATTTTTGTTGATTACTCCTTCACTTTCATGATTTATGTTTTCATTATTTGGTGGAATGATTCATTCATCATTGAATTTTTTAGTTGAGCTTCTGCTGTTACTCGTAACTCAATTCTAAACAACATGTGTTCTACATGCATACCCTACCTTTGTTTTATGTGGTAAGGTTTGAAAATCTGACTGAAATGGATGCACATTGGCAGTGATTCCGTAGAGCTCCTAACAATGGTACCTTGTCGTAGCCAAATTATTTTATGTGAGCAAAATAAGAGAATATCAAGAAAACATTATAGTCAGGTGTGGATATCATCTATACTGTGAACAATAATATATGACTAGACAAATTTAGGGATTCTTATGTTCTAGTGCAAATTACCCTACAGTTTACACTCATTCATCAACTCCTATCTTTTTAGGCATAAGTAATGTTGGTTTAAATTTGTATTTCAATAAACCATTTTTTTTTTATTTTCTAAGCCCAAATGTCGTATTGGATTCACCTTATAATGTGGCTAGTTAGGTAAAAGATGATCCAATAGTTAGAGCAATATCATGTTCCATGCTTTGAAATGATGATAATTTGTCTTGAAGATCATGAGGTTATAAATTTTTAAAACCAAATAATACTCTATTAGCATCTTTAGGTGTTATCCCCTTCATTAGGGTTCTTATCAATTTCCTTGTTAGCCCTCCTTCCATATCAATTTGTAACATCCTATTTCCATATTCATTTGCATAATGACTAACTTGATGATATTTAAAGGATACTTTTATAGAAATTTTAAAACCTAATGTATTTATGATGGTTTTTCTTTGTTTTCCTTTTTGATGTGCATTACTTCCCTTGAATCAATTTAAGATAAATCACTCATTTTTAGCTTTCACATTTTCTAAAATATGTTGATTTAAGATATTCAAGGTTTTTCTCATATCACTGAGCACACTGTATTCTTTTGTGGATGGATCAAATATTTCTCTAGGTTTGATGGTAGGATTGAAATTTTAGCTCATAGATCGAATCAATTTTTGGCTTGGAAACTAAATATCTTTGTCTAGACTAAATTACAGACTTTTTACTAATGATATGTTATAGATTTGTTATTGTGGTTCAAGTTTTAATTTCATATGATCGACAATTGATGTAACCATAACATTCATATAACCCCCATTTTTTATTATATACCCACAAATTTTACTGTCATGCTTAAAACAAGTCTACAGTATTAAGTCTCTTTTATGAGTAAATTCTATTTTAAGTGCAAGAATATTACATCTCATAACATTTAAATACTGTTCCAATAAAGGTTAGTCAAAATTTGTTGTTTTTTGATAATATTCTTGAATATTATCTCCTTCATTAGTGTTCTTATCAATTTCCTTGTTAGCCCTCCTTCCATATCAATTTGTAACATCCTATTTCCATATTCATTTGCATAATGACTAACTTGATGATATTTAAAGGATGCTTTTATAGAAATTTTAAAACCATATGCTATAATATTTTGTGTTTGACTGTTTTGACAATAAGTAGATTTCTAATGTACGTGCAGGGTCTTTTAGTAGTAGGAAGTTCTAATATTTGCTCAAAATATAATGCAAGTTGCAATACATGCTCAATTGATGTAATTTTATGGGTTATCATCTCTCTTTTAATGTAATGCCTTAAACTCAAATTGAGCCTAGAAATTACTATTTTGTGATCTTCCACCATATCAGAAACCATCAATAACTCTTCTTTTTTTGTTAATATCTTCAGTGTTTGTACATTGTTTTGCAGCATTAAAATCATCATGCAAATGATCATGATAGGGCAATGTGTGATTTTTATCTTTTAAGTGTAATGTTCATTTCAAAGTTATTATATCTTCTTTAACCTTTTTTGTTTTTTAAGGCTTACCCAATACTTTTTTTGCTTTCTCAATTAATTTTAAATAGTATTATTTGACTTTCACCAAACATAATTTGTCCTTCAAATGATTTTCCATACCCATAGCTCAATCATAACATAACTCAAGATCTTTCTTCCCATCATATTTTGATGCATCAACTTTTTTTCATGGTTATTTCATCATCTAAATCATACATTTGATGTATTTTGAGTATTTTTACAATTATGTTTTTTCTATTATTTGCCAAATTAATATTCATATTATCTTGTTCATCGTATGATTAAAATTGACTTCTTGTTCATTGCGGTTAGAATGAAATGCTTCCTAATTTTTATTTCTTCCTCCAAATTATTCACATTTTTCCTCATTTGATTTCTTTTAAATATCAACCCAATTAATCAAAATTATCAAGTTTTTAGAATTGCATACTCTTGTTGTTCTATAAAACGAACTTGATATTGACCCTATTTTTTACTTGAGATTATAACACCAAGTTAAACTTTAATACCAAATTTGATGCTAGGAGTTTTAGGGTCTTGGGTTTCTAATGCAGTTATAATATGGGATGTGAAAATCATGCAATAAGCACCCCAAACTCGCTGGCCACAAACTATTATTCTAAGGTGATCATCGACTACTTTGATAAACAGTAAAGATATGATAAAAATTAATTTAAATTAAAAGTTCAATGGACTTTTGCTAGGAATTAATGATTAGAATAAGGTTACAGATAGCTATACATATGAGTGAAACTCATGATTTGACCAATTTCACTATATACAATTGCACTTTCAAACCAATACTAAAAATATAGTGGGAAGAAGAGTAGAAAAAAGAAGAAGATAGGCTTAATACACCATAAATATAACCTCATGCTTTTAGAATGAGATAACCTTCTTTTAAATTCATTAAGTCTCTTACTTGATCAAAAAGTTGAATTCTTGAATCAGGAATTGCAAATCTAATGAAATTTTTTTTCATAATGAGATTTGTTCATGCCGTAGCTCCTAATTATAATTTTGAAACTAATTGATAGTTTACTCGTTGACGCATATAGCATAGGATCGCATGAAAAATAATTCCTAAAACACAAGATTCATAGGTCAATTTGTAAAATCTTTTAGGTGCTTGTAATGGAAAATAGGTAATTAGCCACAAATTTCGTTAAGAAGGTCAAGAAATAGTGGAAAGCTATATGTAGCTTTAGATGACTAAATAAGGGAATAATTAAATATGTGAAAAGAAGTCATATAATATTCGAAAGCCGCACGTTTCCATAGATAAAAAATAGGAGACTGGCTACATGGATCAAATACGAAGGAATCTTCTTGGCCATAGTAGGATATGGATCTAAGTGCAAATCTCAATTAACTTGCATGATTGGGTGTAGCATCGTAGACATGCATATACAATAACTTACAAAAACTTGAACTAATAATAGATTATGTTCAATTAATATTCAAATAAAATTTCAACTTTCAGATTGATTATTGTCATACAAATATTTTGCATTTTTGACTACTACATACTTTTAAGATTCACATCATCCCATCCCCACCCCTAAAGCAATCCTCTACTTTCATACACACACTTCAACCTCTCCAACTCGTGCTTTGGGAAATGGATGGTTTCTTGTGGTTCCTACCATCTAGCTTGTGATTGTTCAAGGAAGGCAACCCTATCTTCAGCATCCTCAAGTTTGATGAGAATTCATACAAAATTTTCTTGAGCTATATTAAGGTTTAATTTAATTGGATTTTCCCCTTGGTTCATGAATCAAGATTTATATAGATCTAAGGTCGAGACACTCTAAGGGTAAAAGCTCTCATAGTTAGTAGTTACTTCTACTCATAAGAAAGCACTCTCAATTAAGGGGGTTGCTTAGACTCAAATTTGATTGAATGCAAAATTCCCGCCCCGGGGGTAAATCTGATTAAGATCTTATGATTATATTATCTTAGGTCTATTTATGTACCTAGTCTGTCAATATCATATTGTTTTGAGCCATAAATTCATGGAACCTAATAAGTAGTCATGGGTAGCCTTTCTTGGGCGTTGCGGGTAGATTGGGCTGAAGTGGTCCTTAGATATGTGCTTTGATATTGATGTCAACTCATTCATTGGCCGAGGGCTTGAACCCACTCAAATTGGTAGATTCACCATATGGAATAGATTGTTCTTCTTTGTGTTATGATTAAATCATGTTAAAAATGCAAATTGGATGCTAAAAGACAAGATGATAACATCAAGGAATATGCTTCAACCTTCTTGTTGGTTTCGTTTTATTTTTACTCTTATTTGAACCATATTGGCAAGTTGCGGTTACCAATTTTTTTCTTCTTAGCCAATTTTTCAGCTTATTCAGTATATTTCTGTACAAGTTGAAACATGATTATTGATACTTTATTTCCTTGCTTTTGCAGGGAGAGCCTAGTTTTCACTTATTTGGATTTATTATGTGTGTTGGTGCAACTGCTGCAAGGGCATTGAAATCAGTGCTACAAGGCATTTTATTGTCCTCTGAAGGGTAATAAGACTCGTCCATTAGGCATTCTTATTCCAACTTGCCACATTTTACTTTTTAAAATTTTAATTTTTTATGATCATTGAATGATTGAATAACCTTCAAGTTATTGTTAAAGTTTCCTTTTGCTAAAAAGCTGCATTTATTTCTTTGATTTGTTTTGGTTGTTGGTATACTGAACCATAAACGTCTATTCAATTTTTCTGTAGGGAGAAGCTTAATTCGATGAATCTCCTTCTATACATGGCTCCAATTGCAGTTGTATTCTTACTTCCTGCTACACTTATCATGGAGAAGAATGTGCTTGGCATTACCATAGCACTTGCTAGAGAAGATGTTAAAATTGTTTGGTATCTCCTGTTTAATTCTTCTTTAGCATATTTTGTGAATCTGACCAACTTCTTGGTCACCAAGCACACTAGTGCTTTGACTCTACAGGTACTTTTGTTCTCTTTTCATAGTTATTTTGATTGTTTCTTTCGCATGTTCCTGCAAACTAGACTAGATCAATTGGAGAATAGGGTAGTTGGTTTGTCTCATAAAAAAAGTGTAGGTTGGTTATGAGTTCATGCGTGCAACTGGATAGGCTTGTTCAAATATCAAAATAGCACCGAATCTAGGCTTCAATCACCCCCATGGAAGCTCTGCTCAACACTTCGGAAATACTAATGTATATAAGATAGTAAAATATATGCATATTTATGTCTGATATATGTTTATGCTATTTATGCTGTTAATATATTTTTATTTTATTTAGATGTCTAGGCCTAAGAGTCGGGCCTGGACATCCATTTTACAGCTAGTCTTTGTTTGACGGTAGGTTCATGTCTTTTGTATGACATCCCTTACTCAAATACGGTCTCCACTAGCACTTCTCTTGGGTTACCCACTTATCTGATCTATTTCAAACCCAAGGATTATGGCAACTTAATCGATTGACAATGATCTACAACTCTGTCCATTGCTTTGTACGTTTGTTGTTGATTGACACAATACTGTGATATATCTGTTGTCTTTATTGATTGTACAGGGCATGCTGGCTTGCACGTATTCCTTGTTATGTTTGACTTTGTCGTTAGCTTACAACTTTGAAGCAAAATTTACTTTTCATCGTATTTAAATTGTTCTTATGGCTTCTCATCCTGGTTTAAACAACACTGAATAAATTCGTACAACAACACAACATAAAGCCTTTATCCCACTACGTGGGTCGGCAACATGAATAAAGAAAGGTCATTCCCAATATTTTATAACCAAGTCTTTTTAGATGTACCTCTACCTTTCTTAACATAAGTCAAATCTAATACCTCTACCCTCTTAACCGGGTCATCGGAAGGCCGTCGTTTTATGTGACCAAACCATCTATGGCGATTCTCTCTAATCTTATCTTCTACTGGAGCTACTCCAACCTTTTCACGTATATGCTCATTACCTATCCTATCTCTAAGGATAAAGCCAATTATCCACCTGAATAAATTCTTATTTGACTAAAAAAAAACTAAAAAGAAAAGTTTGTCCTAAGAAAATTGCATCTGAGAAGTTCTCAATTTTATCAAGCAATATAATTGTGGAGGTCCTTAGATAAGTAGATCCGTTCACCTTAAGGATTTTGACCTTAATTCTTTGCCAAATTGGGTGCTTTCTTTGAATCTCCATCATGTTGATGTAATAAACATGAGGGAAAGTGGTAGTTGAATTAATTTTCCCTTTTTAATGGTTTTTGGCTGAATTGCACCATTATTATGAAAATGATTTCAAAGGAGTTTGAGCTAAAAGCATGATTTTCATTTGCTAATTTGGTAGACAAGTAACATCCTAGTCAAGGTTTAAAATTGCATAACTGCGCCTCGAGGCGGTTTTCGTCCGTGAGGCGAGGCGTAAGCCTCGAGGCGGTCTGAGGCGTAAGCCTCACGAAGACAGAATTGCGTAAATGAAAAATTAAGGATTTTAGCAGGAAAATAATAGCAATATTGGCAAATAAGAAAGTAGATGCAATAAAATTATGTCCCAAAGTACAAAATCACAAAATATTAGTTTAACAAAACTCCCAAAATACAAAAAACATATGAAATGAAATCATATCCCATCACTAAATGGGTCTTCAAGTGATTCTTCTTCTCCAATTGTATCTATGAATGCCATGTCATCTTCATCTTCAACATGACTCACTTTTCTCTTCCCTGTTCATTAAAAGAAAAGATCATTAGCATATTAATTGGATGAACCACTCATTATCAGGCAGACTGGCAGAGAACATATACCTTTACTTGCAGAGCTAGTAGATGTGTGTGGTGTGGTACTAGTGGATGGACCCGTTTGATCTGCTTCGCCCCTCAATACATCCACATTTAGATCTTCTACCTGTAAGTCTGATAATGACAAATCTGCCTCATCATCTATGAACCACTCATTATCAGACGACACATCATCACACACCAACGGGTCCTCATCATCTTTCAACCCCTTATTCCTCAACCTCCTATCTCTTAACCTCTTGTTGTGCATTATCTCTCAACCCCCTTCATTCTTGTTGTGCATTATTCCTCAACCTCCTAGAGGGTGGCCGGAAGTTTCCACTTCGCCGGAGAGGGGCGGCGCCGGCGGGAGGAGCGGCGGGAAGCAAGGCCGACCGTGCGGGAGGGCTTCGTTTTCGCGAACAGGGAGCTGGAAACGGGTTTTTTTTTCGGAAATAAAGGGGGCTGTGCGGGTATAAGGGAGGAAGAGGGCTTATTTTAAGTGGGTGGGACCTAGCGTGTGAGGCGTACGCCTCTCCCAGAATTGCGCAATTGCGCCTCTGAGGCGCGCCTCAGTCCAGGTGAGGCGTACGCCTCATCCAGGTCCAGAATTGCGTAAGCCTCGAGGCGTTTTTTGGTTGAATTGCGCAAAGGCGCGCCTCTAATTGCGCAATTTTAAACCATGATCCTAGTGACGGAATATCTGCTTCATATTTGAACTCACATTATGCCAAGGTTAAAAGGTGTGATATGTGTTATCTAGTTATCAAATTAGAGTAATATTGCATTACATTAATGAAAAGTATCACATTTTCTGCGATGGTTTCCAGTATAGTGATGTTCTTCATTATTTGTATGAGAAATTATAAGCAATACGTTTATATCCTAATGTATCTATATCTAACCATATTAGGTATAATCATATCTATCTAAATACGAGTCATCAATTATTCATTACCTATTTATATATGAATATATATTAATAGATATAGTCGGTTTTACTACGACACTATGAAATAAAAAAAAATTAAGTACCAATCCTATCATTCCTATGAAAATTTGCCAAACAGGAACACATTTTATACATCATAAGCAAGTATTTAACAAGTGTTTCATAATCAATTTATTTCATTTAATAGAGGTTTTTTTTTTATTTTTTTATTATGAAACACTTGTTAAATATTTGCTTATGATGTATAAAATGTGTTCCTGTTTGGCAAATTTTCATTTAATAGAGGTTATGTGCATGAAAAGTATGGCTTGCTACTATAGAAATTAAGACAATATACATAATTTTGTGCAGAAATAAACCAGACAAATTATCTACAACTTGTTAATTTATTATAAACATTAAAGTGGTTTATGGGCATATGTATAACAACATTTACAACTTTTAAAATATCTAGAAACCTATCATAAACATCAATGATAATGCCCCTAAAAAAGAAGGGTATTTTTACCCTCTAATAAATAGAAGTCATCTCAAAGCATGTCGTACGAAACTCCAACCTTGGCTAATATCCAAACAACCATAATAAGGAAAATTCAACTTAAAAGTCCTACACATGAGAACACTAAGGCTTCGTTTGGGACGGCTTTTCTTACTGCTTCATAAAGCAGCTTTCTAGTACAAAAATTAAAATTTTTGTACTAAAAAACTACTTTATGAAGCAGTAAGAAAGCCGTCCCAAACGAAGCCTAAATCAACGACACAAGTACATACAAGCCTTGAAAATTGATAGCTAACACAGATAAGTGCAATTTAGTTCATATAAACCACCAGTGAAAGTTGCATAGCTAACCATTCTCCTAAAAGCTTAAATAGAACTTTCTCCATAGAGAAGATTGATTTTATACGATTTGACGCCTATATGGGCCTCCTTGATAATACTGTCCCATAAATTTGGCTTTCTTTTAGGTCAGAGTAATACATTCAAAATGAAGCCCTTATGATAACATTTCAAATCTCAAAAGGCCTCAAACGAAAAGTCTTTGGTTTATATTAATTTTCTCTTTATGAACAATTCTTTTGAAGATGTTGAAGAGTCTTTTGTTTATCCTGGGCTTGGAAGACGCCCTAGCCCTAGCAAACATGAAGGAATTGACCATTCCTTTATTTTTTTAGGTTCTTGGGAATGCCAAAGGTGCCGTGGCCGTGGTTATTTCAATTCTAATATTCAGGAACCCGGTTTCGGTGACAGGGATGCTGGGTTACAGCCTCACTGTTATTGGGGTCATTCTCTATAGTGAAGCAAAGAAGCGCAACAAATGAGCAGCCGGGTAACCTTGACCATCCCTTACATCTCTTTACTGTAACATTGATGGCAATTACTTCGCAAAGCAGGCGGTTAAGGTAAGACTTGTATGCCATATTTGTCCTGGTTGCGACCGCATCTTTGCTAGGAGAAGCCTGGAGAAGTCTTACTACTGTATCAGCATCAGAGATTGGTTATCCTTTTAGTGCCTGTTTTTAGGGATTCTTTCTTCCACCCATAAGGTTAAAAGTCCAATTCTTTGAGATAGAAATAGTCATGGCGCCCCTGCCCTTAATAGTTATATTTGTTCCGGACAGACTTTAGTTCTATATTAACATACACATTAATTGTTTTATGATGCCAGAGACTTTATTTTGTGATTCTTGAACCTTCTGTTAAACACAACTTATACAGAAATGTTGAAGAGAGGTGCTTTATATTTTGGCTCTCCTTTCGTTGTATTGCTCCATTTCTTAAAGAAATTGTTGCCATTATTGTGCCTCTTGTAGAACTATCAGAACTTAAGCAAAAACTTTGGCATAACACAATAAGTCCTGTAGGATATTTCGGTTCCAGTTATAGAAAATGTATATTGTTACATTTCTTGTGTTACTGGAGAAATTATTATGTATGGAGACCGAACGTAGAATGTCATCCAGAGATCAACCGGAATGCGCAACGTCAATGGTATTGAGCTGCAGTAACGAGCGGTACCGAGCACATGGGTGACGTGGCGCATTTTGATTGGTTTCTAAATAATATTCGATGTCTGCACAGAATAATTAATCGTGTTATTGGATTGTTTTCAAACTTGGTGCTGTATCATAGCATTTGAACAATAATTGGCTGTTATTTGTTTTCCGTATCCTTCCATCAGTTTCCTTCTTTAGTGTTCCAAAATATCGATTATAAAGTTTAGGTGGTCTGTAAACCCTAAACCTGATTTAGGCTTGATTTGTGGTAGTTTTTGTCTTTATTTTTTTATTATTTTTATAAAAATTTTTACTAAAAATTTATTTTATAAAATGTAAAAAAATTATTTCAAATGAAACCATAGAGGCGTGGCCGAGTTGTTTGAAACAATCGTTCCTTGTTATTTTTTCTAACAAAAATTATACTTTTATAAAAAAAATTTGATGATATATGAATTGTTCGATAAATTCTACTTTGGCTCCTAAGGTTTTTTAAAGATCTCCATAACTAAGATTTCGTTTGGAATAATTTTTTTATTATTTTATAAAATAGTTTTTTATTAGAAAAAAATTTAAGAACTAAAGTTTCACATCCATTGTCATTCGACCATCATCTTCAAACTGCTGTCTCCTAATCTCCGTTATCAGACTATCATCTCCAAACTACCTATAGACCATCTTTCTCGCCCGAAAAGTTTGAATCTTTATACAAAATTAAGATATAAAATCTCCTCTCTACCACTGTAATTATTTTAATACTAAATAATAATAGTAATAATAATAATATTATTATTATTAATTAAAGAAATCAATTTAAATAATTGCCGTTGAACTTGGTAGTATTTCTTATGTTGAATATGACATGTGCTTGGGAATTTCATGTCCTCTCCACTCAAGGCAAGAAGTTAATGCAGAGTTTACTAAAGCCAACTATTATATATATTGGACCACATTAAAGTTTACATTAGTAAATAGAATAATAAGTATAATTATTGGTTGCTTGCTAAAAAATGGATGCTCTCTTCAATGTGGCAATAAAGATAAGCCAATTAATTCTTTGACATGATTTTTTCTATTCGTTTGGGTTCCCTTTTATTTTTATATTTTATTTTGCTTATATTTTGATATAAATAAAAGTTATTTGAAATTCTAGAAAATATGTATGTTTAACATGTTTTTTAATTAAAAAACAAAAAATAACTTAAAAGATATAAAATATATTTTATTTAATATAAAAATGTATGAAATAATATAAAAATAAAAATAAAAGTAATCCTAAACACTCCATTTAAAAAGCAATCGGTTTTCTAGGAATATCATGAAGTTGAACTATGTCATAAAAAAGTTTCAACCATGCGAGGCTTAGTTTATGTTGTTTTGATAGAAAAAAAATTGAATTTTAGAAAATCGATCGACCACCATTTTGATCTAATCTCTGTTGTTGTGTTGAATAGAAAGATGATAAAATCCATGATTTATAATACTAGTCATGATATATATTTATAACTATATTTTCGATTTTATTTGGGACAGTTTTTCATCATTATTTTTTTGTTACTTTTTTAAAAAATTATATTAAAAAATAAAAGAATTATTCAAAAAAAAAAAAAAAACAATAGTCTAGAAGTGTTGGCCAAGTGATATATTCAACACCACTTTCTATAGTGATGCATGAATAAAACAAATTCTCATTAATAACACCTTGGAATACTTGACATATTACAAAGTAAGAGGCAATCATTTTCATAGCAGAATTTTGGCAGGTTTCATGATTGAAATTTGACTAAGATTTTATTTGACGAGTTTTTTTTTTGTTTTTTTTGTTTTTTATTGTTTTCTCCAGCAGTGTTTTAGTAGCATTTCTACAAAGTACTCTTTCAGATAATGGAAGCTTACTATATTCATAGGGTGTCAGTATTTGACAAGACCTAAAAGTCTAACATGAACTTCGATCCGAAAATTTTTTGTTAGGGTCAACCCGTCTGCCAAACGGGTCGGATTAGGGTTCCAAATTTCGACTTGTTTGAAAAATTGGGTCAAGTTCGGATCAACTGCTAACTCGAAACTGACCCGGATATGACTCGATTCCAAATTACTCAAAGCACTCAAACAGGTCAACATGCAACCGCGGCTCGACCAGTCCGCCTGCGGACCTGCACTGCGTTGTCGCGCATAGCCACATAGGGCTTGCTTTTTCTCTTATTCTGCTGGCCGTTGCTTCCGCACGTGGCACGCCTTCGCAAGTTCGCTGCTTCTGCACGACACGACTGTCGCCTTCTCCGCCGAGTTTCAACAACGTTCCTTTGGCTTCGGGTCGGAAGTTCTCGTTCGACGGAGTTCCTTCATATGGGGTCAGAAGTCACGACAACTCGCTTTCCGTTCTTTTGTTGGATCGGAAGTAACAACGACAAGAATAGGGAGGTCGTCGTTCTCCCATTCTCGTGCTTCTTCGACCAAATCTCGCATATTGCATGTGGTTTTGTGTCGGGTCGGGCAACCCGACAAACCGGCAAATCAGAATCGGGTTCAACCCAAACCCAACCTATCACCCAATTTTGACACCCCTATATATTCTTAAGGAAAGCAGCAATTAAAACTTAACACCGATTTAACATATCCACCATGCTAAGGCTCTCAGAAAGAATTGAAGTCCAAGTTCTGTGTTTGCCTTTCAATTTATTTTGGCAATGCAAATGTTTGCTAGCAAATAGTAGCTCAAATGGGTTAGCGCTTGCAAAATGACATAATTATTTATCAAAGCTTGAATATTTTCTTCGAGCTTCATCAAAATTTTCCACTAAAAAAAATAATTGAGTGTCCTCCATGATTTGTGACAGAGCCCATGCCCACAATGGAAGCATCACTCCACCTCAAAGACTTAGATTTCGTTTGGGATAACTTCTTTGCAGTTTTCTAAAACGACTTTTTAGTACAAAAATTTATTTATACTAAAAAGTAGTTTTATAAAGCGACAAAAAAGCTGTCCCAAACGAAGTCTTAGCTGAAATTTGGTAAAGTTGGAAGGATTATGATAAATCTTTTTTACATTTGCAAGGCTAAGGTAGGCTCTTTCAGACCATTGAAACTGTTCCTACTTGAGTAATTCATTGAGATGGGCAACCACAAAGCTTAATTGCTTAACATCTTATCACTAGAAAGATGCTAGTCCATGAAACCTCCTCACATCCATACGAACCGAGCAATCGATCGCTCTAGTATTGGTGTGACTTTAGATGAATCCATTTCCACAAAATTTTTTTATGTAAGGTAGAAAATTTGATTCATAGGAGGCATAAGGAGTTCTACATGATGGTCTGAAAGGCATAACAATCCATTCATAGTCTATTATACATCGTTAAAATATATTTTATTTGTCTCTCATCCTAATTAAATATGATGATAGCCACTCCATAAGTCAATTTTAAAAAATAGAGAATACTAATGAAGTAGATTATAAATGGAGCAAGGAAATAATTAAAAAAACAATATTTGATAATTGTTTTATTCATTGCCTAGCTACTAATGTACATTCATCACAAATCATCTTTATTTAGTACAAGAAGTGCGAGAAAACATATATAAGTTTACATTTTCCTTGACCAATCATTTTGGCAATCAATATAGTGACTTGGGGCTATAATTTTTCATGCTTCTTTGGTCACAAATGATAATTGGGTTGATGTAGAATGACAAACTCCATAATGAAATTGAGAGCTTGATGAATTTTACATCAGATCCATGCATTGGATACCCATACCCACACCCACCCACATACCCACCCATGCCCAATAGGCATGGGTGGTTATGGGTACACCTATGACCTCGTGGGTGGGCATGAGTGGATACTCAATATTGGGTGATAAACCAATTTATATTACTAATCACCATATGCAGTGTATTACAGTAATTCTTAATACGTAGTGCGCAACACTAAACAACGATGTGACCACAATAAATTTTGATATGCGGCTTGAAAGTTTACAGTCAGAGTAAAGGGCAACAAGCCTCAAGATCATCAATTCGTGGCGGACTGCATTCAAAAAACATGAAAAGTGGATGAGTATGGGTGTGTACAATATCCCGAAAGTCACCATGGGTGGATGTGGTGGGCGAAGCCTGTCCGCACAGAACGTGGGTACCCAATTAAGACCCCATGTAGGACTTTGTTTCACAAATCAAGGCAAGCCCAATGCGACACGCAGAGTGTGAGTACATAATGGATACCCAACTAAGACCCCATGTAGGACTTTGTTTCATACATCAAGGCAAGCCCAATGAGATTTCAGAGACTTGGACAACTCAAAACTAATATAATATATAGTAGTTGGAAGTGATGAAATATCACATTTCTCTTCCATAAACACAACACATTGTAGACTTCTTGAGTAGCCTCAATGAACAAGGATTTAGATACCAACGCCTCCTGCTTGGCCCATGGACAGCTTCATCTTTAATTGGTATAAAAAAACACACTCATTTTTTTCAATGGAGAGTGTATTCTTTGAAGATATCATGGATGGTATGAAAATTGTATTGCCATGGCCTTCCAAAAAGAGATGACAAACATCCATGGAAATAACATCTCACCATACTTTTTGGCATAATTTCCTATTAATAAAAAAGATGAATTAAACATCATTTCGTTACATAAATATTTTTCACTTCCTTAGCCAATTAAGGTGTGAATGTTCTTTGTATTTTTAGGCTATGCTTCTCCATCAGTCTTAGCTATCACATTCTCATCATTTTCTCGATCAATAATAAAGTTACAAATCATCCCTTGGACCACGCATCAAGTAGGCAAGATATTATAGCACAATCACAAAACTCAAGTAGTTCTTCGATTAATTATTTTATACGGATGCCGAACGACATCAATCAAAATGCTTCATGTCACCTCTTACTTAGTACAACGACTCGATACTTCTCGGTACCACAACTCAATATTACTGATATAACACATTCTGATTGGTTTCCAAACAACTCTATGTCCAATCCCCACACAAAATAATTTCTCATTTTCATTGACACAAATAATTTGTGCAACTCTCATTGCTCTGCTCATTGAAAACTAAAAAATTTCATAATCAAATCTTACATATATAATGTGTGTGAATTATTTGACTTAATTGACTTAAATATTAAATATTTTTAAAAAAAAAGTTAGCTAAATCCAACCCCTTCTATTTCAAAAGGGTTTCTTTAATAAGGGAGACTAATCGTAGATAATTTGCTCAACGTTTGGTGTCAGCTAACTCCAACATTGCTAAACGCCACTAGTAACCAATCACCATCGCTACCAGCTGCCATAACAGCCTGCTATTACCATCTTATACATTATTCAAAAACCCAATAAAAACATTACTTAGAATATTAAGTATAATTTCATTTCATGTCAAAATACAAACTAAACTTAGAAATTAAAAAAAAAAAAAAAAAAGACTTCCAAACAGCCTATTATAGCACAATTCTCTTCAATAAAGCTCGTCAACTTTACAAACACTAAAGTTTTTCATTTGGGACGGCTTTATTACTGCTTCTTAAAGCAGCTGTCTAGTACAAAAGTTTTAATTTTTGTATTATAAACCTACTTAAAAGAATAGTAAGAAAACTGTCCCAAACGAGATGTAAGTCTTTAATAACATTCAATACTTGAATAGAGGTTGAACCATTTCAGCTTTCACAGCATTTTTTTAATAGGAATCGCCTGCTCCAAGAGCCCAATGAGCAAAACAAAATGTGCTATGCTACTCTCAATTCAAATCAACGTGAAACAGTACACAATAATCATAAGAAAAAATGATCGATAGGAATCAAGATTAATTGTACATATCATATAGTGATGGTTAAAGGGGGTTTACTTTCAAGAGGAAAATCTGTAAAACCTAAGAAACATAAATGTCGTGAATTGTTCCCCCTCTGCAGAAGCTTCTTCCTAAAAGAAAGCAGCAACCAAAAAAAAAAAAAGAAAGAAAAATCTTAGCAGCTCCACACCAAATACAGAAAGCACTACTTCTCTCACCTCTGCGCCAAACGATAGTCCCATTTTCTGCGGTTCTGCAAGCTAAACAAGAAAGAAGGTTCAATTAAAATTCAAAAGATGTTCGGCATAAAGAATAAAATATCCACAAGCATGAACTCAGACACTCAGTGCACCATCATATATATGTATCTTCCAAAGTTGTATAAAAAATCCAAATAAAAAATATATTTGATAGCACAGTGCAGTAGATTACCTCAAGTGAGTAGAAAGCTTATACTTCATTTTTCAGCAAGCAAAATTGTAAGGGGGCAACTATAACTGCCCCTGACAACCATTTTTGGGCTATTTAGTTGCTTGTAGATAAGAAAAAGGTAAAATATAAAAATGATAAGATCACTTAGATTGAATTATTTGATTGAACCATCAAATCATCATAACTACCATCATAATCATTAGCCCTATCCCAAATCTCAATAGACATCTCATCTCACCTCATCTTAATTCATTCTCTTCATCGACACTGCATTTAAAACGGACCACTCTTATAATGTATCAAATTTCTTATTTAAAACTCTAATTTAATAGTTTCTCAAAAAGGATTCCTACGTTTTTCAAATATCTTCATCTTTAATTGAGATCATATCAAGATTTAAAATTGTGAAATTGGGTATTAAGGTGTTTTCCATCTGTTAGACGAGGCATAAACCTCAAGGTGTAAACCTCAAAATTAAAAAAATTGCATAAAGTCAAAATGAAGATTTTTTTATATAATAAACAAATAATATATTAAGTAATGACATAAGAAATAAATTGGTATATATATGAAACACAAAAAATGCACAAGATATAAAGTGACAAGTAATAAATTGTATAAAATAGAATTAAAATATAAACATCACAATAATAAACATAAAATGAAGTTCAACTCAACATTCTATCTTCTCTCATTTCTTACTCATCAACATTTAATTAAAAAAAAAAGTAATGGTATAGCAACTCAGAAGTCATCAACACTGTCAATCACTGAGAGGGTCTTCATTTGAATCATCACCTATACAATCCAATGTCTCACAATCTACTTATTCTTCCTCTATATCAGTTAATTTCCTCTTCCCTAAATGTTTTCATCAATATAAAGATGAGTAATACTTTAAAGTAAATAAGCTTTAACAAAATAATATTTTTATATACCTTATCTATTTTCTTCTTGACCCCGCCAGTCAAACAAGATCACAAGAACACGATACTACCTTGCTTAACCAGGAGCTGGATTATCACCTCTGAGTCCAAAGACACAGAAAGAAACCCGATTACTGGCGAAGCTGGGCTTTCGCTTCCTTACCCAGAAGTAAGGAAGGAAGTAGATCACCACCTGAATCAAAAAGAATCCAGGATACAGAAAACAAATCCCATTAGCCTTTGTTTGATAATTGCAATGTTGTTTAGCAATGGCTTCTTTCACTTGACGATGTAGCTTTTGGATTTCTTCACCCCGTTTAGCTCCATCTGCCCTAAACGTTTTTGGCTGATTTATAGGAATTAAATCAACAGGGGTAATGGGATTACACCCATAAACGACCTCAAATGGACTTCGGTTGGTGGCTTGATTAGGTGATCTATTAAAAGCAAATTCAACTTGTGGAAGAACTAAATCCCATTGCCGAATATTTTTGCCAACGAAGCACCGTAGCAAATTTCCCAAGCTGCGGTTGACGGTCTCAGTTTGCCCATCCGTTTGCGGGTGGGCGGCTGAACTGAAATGTAGGCGAGTTCCCAATTTACTCCAGAGAGTCTTCCAAAAGTGGCTTAAAAACTTTACATCTCGATCAAACATGATTGTCCTCGGAAGACCATGCAAACGGACTATCTCCCGGAAGAAAAGATCAGCTACATGGGTCGCATCAAGTGTCTTTGTACAAGGAACGAAGTGCGCCATTTTTGAGAACCGGTCCACCACCACCATGATAGAATTTTTACTCCTTTGTGTGCGGGGTAAACCCAGAACAAAATCAATGCTAATATCAACCCATGGAGACTCAGGTATCGGAAGTGGGGTATAAAGCCCGGCATTAGTGCCCTGTGTCTTGGCTACCCGGCAGACACGGCAGCTTCGAATGTATCTCTCTACATCTCGTTTAAGTGTGGGCCAGAAGAAATTTTCTTTGATCAAAGCCAGTGTTTTGTCGCACCCAAAATGACCCGCAAGGCCACCTGCATGACATTCGGCCAGGAGTGACAGGCGAAGAGAACATTGTGGCACACACAGTTGGCAGCTTCGGAAGAGATAGCCCTCTCTTATATGAAACAGTTGATGAGGTCCCGATTGGCACTGGACCCAACTGCTCTTGAATTCTGCATCATTAACATATAATTCTTTTAGAATTTCAAAACCAATTACCTGAGTTTGCAACGTATGTAATAGCAGGGATCTCCGGCTTAGCGCATCCGCTACTTTATTTTGCTGTCCCGACTTGTATTTCAGAACATAGTGATATGCTGCCATTGATTCAACCCATGATGCATGACGGCTTTTTAATTTCTTTTGGTTACTGAGATACCGTAAGGCTTCATGATCCGAAAATAGGATGAATTCATTGGGAAGGAGGTAGTGACTCCAGTGGTGTAATGCTCGCACAAGGGCATAGAATTCCTTGTCGTATGTTGAATACTTTTGTCTTGAGTCATTCAGTTTTTCACTGAAAAAAGCGATCGGATGTCCTCCTTGGCTTAAGACTGCTCCAATTCCAACGTTGGAAGCATCGCACTCCACTTCAAAGGCTTGATGAAAATTTGGAAGAGCTAGCACCGGGGCTGTAGCAATCGTTTGTTTTAGAAGCTCAAAACTGTTCTGCGCAGCATCTGTCCAAAGGAAAGGTTCAGTCCGCAAGATTTCAGTAATGGGAGCAGCCACCGTACTAAAGTTTCGTATAAAACGTCTATAAAAAGATGCAAGCCCATGAAACCTCCGGATATCGGTGAAAGAGTGAGGTACAGGCCACTTAAGGATTGCTTCCACTTTGCTCGGATCGGCTTCAATTCCCTCAGCTGATATAATATATCCTAAGAAGGATATGCGTGGAACCAGGAATTGGCATTTGGACAAGTTAATAAACAGCCTTTGTTCTTGAAGTATATTAAAAATATGTCTAAGATGCTGCAAGTGCTCTTTTTGATGTTGACTGTATATCAAGATGTCGTCAAAATAGACGACGACGAACTTGTATAACAGAGGTTGGAAAATATGCGTCATGAGCCTCATGAAGGTGCTAGGGGCATTGGACAAGCCAAATGGCATTACCGTCCACTCATATAGGCCATCGCGCGTCTTGAACGCAGTTTTCCATTCATCACCCTCACGCATACGAATTTGATGGTAGCCACTCCTTAAATCAATTTTTGAGAAGACTTTGGCGCCATGAATATGATCAAAAATATCATCTAGGCGCGGGATAGGAAACCGATACTTGATTGTAATTTTGTTGACAACTCGACTGTCAATGCACATTCGATACGATCCATCTTTCTTAGGCACTAGTAGCGCCGGCACTGTGCTTGGGCTAACACTGGGTCGTATGAATCCCTTGTCCATAAGTGCTTCTATCTGTCGCTTCAGTTCCTCATGTTCATCCGGTCGCAGGCGGTATGGAGGCCGGTTGGGAATGGTAGATCCAGGCACTAAATCCACAGCATGTTGTATCTCCCTCAAAGGAGGCAGACCGGCAGGGATGTCTTCAACGGCCACATTTTTAAATTCTTGTGGCAGAGGTCTGACGTCTTCATGCACTTCATTGATGACTTCATTGGCTTCAACCATGACCAGCACGTAACCTCCTTGGGTTTCATTTAGCTCCTTCAGAAATAACGATTATTTTAATACTAACAACCCATTTTTGCAATATGGATAGGAATCTTCCAATGGAAGTAACGTCATTTGCTCCCCTTTGTGGATAAAAGAGCAAGTATTTGCAGCCCCATCATGGATTGATTTGCGGTCGTATTGCCACGGGCGTCCCAATAGTAGATGACATGCGTCCATAGGAACTACATCACACCAATCTTCTTCCTCAAATTTTCCAATTGAGAAATGGATTAAACAGCGTTTTGAGACTTCTACCTCATTTCCCTTTTGGATCCATGACAATTTATACGGATTCAAATGTTCTTCGGTCGGCAAATTGAGTCGTTCAATCAGAGTGGTAGAGGCAACGTTCTCACAACTCCCACTATCAATGATTAATTGACAAACACGACCATTAACAGTACAACGGGTTTTGAAAAGACTATGTCGTTGTAACGGTTCCTTCTTATGAGAATTCAGCAAGCGGCGAAGAACTAGCAAGGGCCCATCATCAGGTGGAATGATTGTGGTTGCCGTTTTGAATTCATCCTGATTGTTCACTTCGGGCTCAGTCACTTCTTCCACTTCTTGGTCTTGCTCCTCCATAAGTGTAATAACTCTGCGATTTGGACATCCCGACGCAATGTGGCCAAAGCCTTGGCACTTGAAGCATTTTCGCGCTGGGTAGCTAGTAGAACCTGACGGACTCCGGCTGCTACTTGCTTGGCGATCACCTTCTTTATTGTTTGTAGTGGTTGGAGGATTTTTCTTGGACTCAGCCTTTTCTTCTGCAGGATCCCGGCTGATCACTCGGGTAGGTCCAGATTTTCCAAAACGCTGTTGCTTTTCTACTTTAAGAGCAAGACTGACAACGTCTTGAAACGTCCAGTATGGTTGTAGCTGAACGACATTAACGATGGAGGGATTTAAGCCTCCCAAAAATCGCACAATGGTATTTTCTTCAGGTTCCACAAGATCGCATTTGAGCGATAACTGTTCAAACTCAGCAACATATTCTTCGACCGTCAACTGGTTTTGGCGGATTCGATGATATTTCAAGAAAAGATCATGTCGGTAATGATCCAGCAAGTATTTTCGCTGGAGTTCCCGCTTCATTTTGGCCCAACTAGTAATTTTACTGCGTCCTTCTCGATTCCTGGTTCTTTTGACGTTCTCCCACCAGAGGGAGGCAATCTGACCCCGCCAGTCGAACAAGATCACAAGAACACGATACTACCTTGCTTAACCAGGAGCTGGATTATCACCTCCGAGTCCAAAGACACAGAAAGAAACCCGATTACTGGCGAAGCTGGGCTTTCGCTTCCTTACCCAGAAGTAAGGAAGGAAGTAGATCACCACCTGAATCAAAAAGAATCCAGGATACAGAAAACAAATCCCATATACAGGATAATTAACGAAACAATCTTCTCTGCCTTTATTCCAGTAAAAGACTAATATATATACATGGCCAACGGACCGAGACAGAGTAAGCTATAGGAATAAAAGAACTAAGACCGAAACAGAGCAGGCTACAGGAAGAAAAGAACAAAACAATCTATACAGAATACATGTATGTGACGCTCCGGCGTCACTTCTTCTTATACATGGGTTGTGATGGATGTAGATGCTCTATTTCTATCACCATCAAAGAAATTAACATTCAAATATTTCTCTTGTAATTTAGATGGTGTTAACTCAACTTCATCATCTATAGATTACTCATCATCTGATGTCATATGATCACAAATCAAAGAATCTTCATTATCTTTTAACACTTTCTTCTTCAAATTCTTGTCTTTAAGTCTATTATTGTACATGATGTATGCCAAGAAATTCATCCTTAGGGTTGTCAAATGATTTCTCATATTTGTGTGCACTAGATTGTGCGTGCTCCAGTTGCATTCACATCCAGATAAAACACATTAATCTCAAAACCTTCATAGTGAAACACTATAGTTCTAGAGTGCCATCACCAAATTAAATCCACCACTTAATTGAGATTTTACATAAATAAGTATAGTAAGTACTAAGTACAATTAATTCAAAATAAATAAGTATATAATACATTAAAGCAACAAATAAAATAACTTAGAAATCGCTTGGAAGTAAGGTCTGTCCAAAAATATCATCTTAATTCCTAAATGGTACTAATTGCATATCAACATTTGATCTCTTAGTTGAATCAACTATAAGTATATTCATGCAATGGTATAAACCTAATTTTATCTTAGGATTTATTGATCTAATTTATGTATATTAATATTGATGATAATAATCTGCTACATGTAAGTGCCAATGAAGCTGTAACTCTCACCTATCATCAATGATATTCCAAATTTTTCTATAACCACCTTTTTCTCCTCTTAAGTTTTGGACAATCATTTCTTTTGTTTCAGCCATAGCATTATGTATGAAGCCTAAAACAGACTTCTCAACATCCACCATCCTCAGAACCTGATCCCAATGGCTTAATGGTTATAACAGCATACATTACACTCAGCCAAAATATGCCATTTAGAACAATCTTCCTAAACTCTTTCCCTCAGATTTTATTGCCCAAGCATAACTCAACAATTGTGTAGAGGTGAACATAAACTTCAAAAGTTGACTTGCCTCCAACATGCTCTACAAAATCAAATAAGCGATGGGAAATCTAGTTGCTGCAAGCCTAAATATTCCTTTGTTTGAAAATTTTCTCATGAATGTCTAAACTCAAACATGATTATAAATAAATTTGCTTATCTTCTTAGCTTTTATTAGTGCATTTTTATGCTAACACAGCTCCTTAAGTTTCTCAAGGATGAGATTTGTGCAATATATGGCACAGAGTCCAATATAAATATTTCCATAAGTTTTATCCTAGTAACCTAATAAGCACTGACATTATCTATTATCAATTAAACTATCAGGTGCTCTACAACCTTCTCAACAATACTATCAAGTAATCCAAAAAAAATTTCAACATCTTTCACTTGATCAGATATCTCAGTTGACTTCAAAACACAGTGTCATAAATCAATTGATGACCCATGTATAATACCTAAAAGAAATGAAGATAAAATGCATACCTCGTACTCGGCAAATCCACAAATACCGATAGAATCCCGCTGAAACAGTTGAACTCGCATCACTTCCCGTAAATCCTGCGGAAGCCTCGATCTTCGTCACCCACTGGCGGTAAAATGAGACTCGTTAGAACCTTTGGAGGGGTTCCACTCTCTGCTTCTCCACATGAAAGCCACGATCCCATTTCCTGCCTCCTTCTCCGACGCCTCTTCCTTCCTTCTCCCGTCGCTGCCTCCTGATTCCTTCTGATCCAAAGAGAGAGAGAGAGAGAGAGAGAGAGAGAGAGAGGGAGAGGGAGAGGGAGAGGGAGATGTGACAACCGGTTCATTCGGCCGGTTCAACTGAACCGGCAGGCCCACCCTTTTAACACCGCGAACAGAGAAGGTTCGCGGAACAGCGGCATTTGCGAACAGAGAGCGGGCAGCGGGCGACGTCTTGTGGGAGAGCGAGGAAAACTCAGTTTTTTTCCAAATTTAGCAAAGGATTGGCTTCAAGGATAAGAATTAACTATTCCTTTTCATTCCCATCGTTAAGGAAGTGCTAAATTAGAAGAAATCGCAAGAGGGAAAGTTTCTGTTGAGGGGGAACGACTAAGAAGAAGGAGAGAATGTTTGTTTCTTTTTCTCTCCGTTTCTGTATTAATCCTTTCCTATTTCTTCATTTAAATAGCGAGGGTGTTTCATTAAGGGCAAAGGAAGAAAATTGAAAGTGGAGAGAAAGAAATTGGGAAAGAAAGAAGAAGGATTTTAGGTCAGAATAATTCTATTTTGTAAGTGATTTTTTATACATCTCTTGTTATCTATGTTGGAGAATTTTTAATGTTAATATCAATTTGATTAGAAAAAATTTGACTAATCTTGTGTGCAAGGTGAAGGATCAAAGTTAATGAGGAAATTTTTGGAAGATTTGATTGTGACAAGTAAGATCGTCGCAAGAGTTAAAGTTGGAACGTATTGAAGCCAAAACATTCAAAGTGGGTATTTATAAAAATATTAAATTTCTTTATTTCAATTCTATTTTCATTTAGAAAGAAGTATATATGAAATTGTTAGACTTATAATTTTTGCTACTGTTGGAAATGAGTATATCAAAGAAATGTATGAGTACAATTATGGAAAAGAAAAAGGATATGTAATGAGTATATCAAAGAAATAGAAAGTAAAAGTTTAGAAAGAAAATAGACCTATGTATATGATTCATATATACAAATGATAAGTAATAATTATAGAGATATATGTAAGATATGTTGTATGCAATGATAATAATAAGGATGAAAATGAAAAAAAAAAAAAGAGAATAAAGGAAAAGATATTGAAAACGACAGGAGTTAACCCCCTGATGGTATTGGCTGGGGACGCCGTACTCGTGCACAATAAAGGAAAAAGAAAATGCTATGGAAATGAAAAAGGAAATCAAATGGAAAAGGTTGTACCTTAGGGTACTTTAAGACGGTGCTCCTGTACAAATCAAATGGGAAAATGAAATATAAATGAAATACTAAAGATAACGAATGATTTAAATTGTTTTAAATGAAAACATCCGAAGAAGTATAATCAATGATATGAAAGAAATTAGATTAAGAAAGAATATAATTCACATATCTTCATGTATATTAATTGTTTTAATTAAATACCCATTGAGTTTACTTAGTAAACTCAACCCACGAGCTTAAATGTTTCAGGTAAATTCCTAAAGAAGAAATGGCTGAAAGAGAATAACATGTTTACAGAAGACGACGTGCAAATGACAACAGTTAATTTATATTTTGTGTTTAGTGACTCTTTAGCACAAATGAAGTAGTATATGTTTAAGAAATTTTATCGTCCGACTTTTCGTACCGCCTCGTTAGATTGAGCATCCGGGCCGGGTCGTGATTGGAGACCAAGCCGAAACCTCCAATCTCCACCATCTCCTCCCTTAGCCGATTTCTCCAAGCCGAAGCCCTAATCCACCCTTCGGAGAGAGAGAGAGAGATAGAGAGATAGAGAGAGTGTGTGTGAGAGAGCTTTTGCTCTAACCTGACAGAAGTTGAAGCCTCCATCTCTGCTCTACTTGTCGCCTCTAACCCGACACCCTCATCCAGTCAAAGACCCACATCCTTCTATAGGCCGAACTCTTCATAAAGCCTTCTCTTCCCCATACCCGATCACCTAAACCAATCCCTTTAGTTGTTAAGTATACATTTTATTTTGTTTTATTTTTACTTATTATTGCTTAGTTATTATTATTATGAATATATTTGTATGTGTGTGTGTAAGAGAGAAAAGAGATTAAAAGAGAGAGAGAGAGAGAGGAAGGGGAGACTTTTAATTATTTTGCAAATCATCGTCACTCGCAAAGGTATAAATTTTTAACTAAAATCCTTCTTTCGTGGCTAGCGACAGGCCGACAAACCTCTACGCGCTCACGTAGGGTAGTAGGGTGGGAAATCGGCGCGACGCTTGCAACGACTTAAAAATCCATCTTCAATGCTAGCGACGAGCCGACAAACCGCCTACGCCCTCACGTAGCATAGTAGGGAGGGAAACCGGCACGGCGCTTGCGGCGAGGGAGATAAAATAATAATAATAATAATAATAATAATAATAAGTACCTTTAAACCAGTCTATCTCCTCCTTTAAACCAGGCTATCTTGTAAGGCTTAGCAAGTGGTTTGGGTTTTAACTTAAGCTTGTCTACCATCAGTTTGAGATACAAAGTTTTCTGAGCTTCCACTATCAATCATAAGGGTACAGAGTTTACCTTCAATAGTGCAAGTGGTTCGGAAGATGTTTCGCCTAAGCCATTTGTCCCCAGTGCCAACTTTAGTAGTTAAGACTCTTTGAATAACCAAAAAATTGGTCCCCTTGGTCTCTTTTAACCTCAATTTGTTCTAACTCAATCTCATTTTCTGGTTCATATTCAACTTCCTCCTCTTGCTCATTTTCTAAGTCATCCTCTTTCTCTATGTAATTGGTCTTAGGAGGGTTATTCTTCCTACAAGCTGTCGAAAGGTGCCCATATAAGCCACACTTGTAACATGGTCTTATTGGCTTTGGTCCTATCACTCCCTTTCCTTTATCAATGGGTTGAGTTTCATTAGGTTTTGTTCGCAAATTAGGATTTGAAGAAGATGCGCCAAAAGAGGTTTGTGAAGACTTGATTTTGATCCCACTAGATCGTCGAAGCTTAGTTGATTCAATTGTCTTATTTGAGCCTCTGTAATGTTGTTTTTCAATCTTAAGCGTCGTTTGATAAGCTTCATCCAGTTTAATAACATGATGTAAGTTCAATTGATCTTGAATAGCCCATTTTAATCCATTGATGTATCGAGTTATGGTTCGTTCTTGATATTCATCCAAATCATTTCTTGATTGAAGTTTGTAGAAATTTTCAGTGTATTCTTCTACGAATTGATTTCGGTGAATATTATTAAATTCTTGAAACAAAGTTCGGGAATGGTCAGAAGGCAAGAATTTCCCCTGCATCTTTACTTTCATTCTTTCCCAAGTTTGAATATTTTCTTTTCCTCTCCTTACCTTATTGTTTTGAAGATTTTTCCACCACATTAAAGCATGACCCATCAATTTTAAACTAGCAAGCCTAACTTTTCTATTTTCTGGAATTTCTTTCCATTAAAAAAATTGAACCATTTTTTCTATCCATTCAAGAAATTGTTCCTGATGCATCTTACCTTCAAATTCTCTTACATCAATTTTAATTCCATAATCACATTGTCTATTTTGCCGATTTGGGTTTCTAGTAATTTCATCTTCACTTTCAGAATTTTGAGCATTGTTCATATTTAAGTTAGCTAAAGTGTTAGCCATATTGTTCAATTGTTGTTGTAAGTTAGCCAAATGTTGCATCATTTGATCAATCTCCTTGATTGTTTGGTCATTTTATTTTTAAGAGGGGAGACTCATACGCACTAAACAAAGGCTCTGATACCAAATTGATAGGAATTAGCAGTTAAAAGCCCAAGGAGAACACTAATGCAAGTAGAACAAACCTCGATCCAAAAACCTTAGTAAGCAAAATCACCATATAACATTAAACAAACTGAAATTGTTTTATAAGAAGAAAGAAAACCATAAAAAACTACCTTCAGAACAACCAACAAGTGATCACCTCACATGTGACGATAAAATAGGTAAATAAAATGCTAAAGGACATGCAAACCAGTGGTCCACCACAGCTACTTTGATCCAATCAAACGTCAGCCACAACTCCTCCAGCAAATGCCAACAAAACTTACCAACCAACACCACTCTCAGTTTTAGAAGAAGTATAAAATGGGGTGGAAACTTGTGGAAAGAAGAAAGGGATTAGAAGACTTGGAAGAAAAAAAAAGAAGTGAAGAAATAGCTCTCAAGCTAAAGAAGAAACACTCAAGTTTTACTTAGATTTTTCACTTCCAAAAATTGCACTCAACAGTCCAAAACTCCCCTATAAATAGGAGAGAAAAAGGAAGCCAAAAGTCATGCTCAGCCGCCCACTACAGCCAACCAAAAGGGAAGAAAAAAATCAGCAATAAAGGTACGGATGGACCCCCATCCGAACAACCACAACAAGGGAACCATAACAGTTAGGGAGCAAGAACCGAACAGCCATCAAGGGAAACTGGGAAAGCAGGGAGCAAGAACCGAACAACCCAACAAGGGAAACCGAGAAAGCAGGGAGCAGTAGCAGAAACCAAACAGCCCAGTAAGGGAAGCCGGGAAAGTAGTGAGCAGGAACCGAACAGCGCAAAGCAAAGGCTCAGCTACCCACCAACAATCCCAAGTCAACCCAAGCACCAAGAACCCAAAGAAGCTAGCACACTAAAGGAAAAAAACATATCCAAGAGCACCTATACCACACATGATCATTGGTTGCCTTCCATCATCAAGTAAATAACAAAAAAATTAAAACCCAAAATTACAATAACATAAAGATAAAAATCATGATCATTTGAATACATCATATAAGGTCTTTCTGAGCCACTTCTGGAGGGAGTTATTCAAGATGCAGGGGACTATCCTGAAAAGGAGTGCAGCTTACAACTCTCAAACGGATGGTTAGACAAAGGTGGTGAATTATAGTGTGGAGACTCGTCTTCGTTGCTTTGTATCAAATACAACAAAGATATGGGTCAAATGGTTAACCTGGGTGGCAGAATATTGATATAACACTTCATATCAAACAGCAGCCTAGACAACGCCAATTAAAATTCTATATGGGAGAGATCCATCTCATCTGATACATTATGGGCATGGCAACATACCAGTGTCATCAGTGGAGCAATACTTGAGAGAAAGATACCTGATTTTAGCATAATTGAAGAAGCATCTACAGCACAACAAATCATGAAAAAGCAAGCGGATTGACATAGGAGAGATGTGCAGTTTAAGGTTGGAGACATGATTTATTTGAAGATCCGACCTTACAGACAGGGGATTTTGGCTCGATGAAGGAATGAGAAGCTCCCCCCCCCCCCCCCCCCCCCCCCCCCCCCCCCCCGGGTACTTTGGGCCCTAGGTAGTAGTGGAGCGCATTGGCTTAGTAGCATATCGTCTACGATTGCCACCGACCTTAGCCATCCATCCAATATTTCATGTATCGCAACAGAGATGAGCCATTGGAAACCACACACCCTTGCCCACACCACTGGGCACACTGTCAAAGGATATGGACGTGATATTAGAACCATTGGAGGTGAAAGGGGTGCTCCAAGGAGATAAGGGGATTAAGGAGATGCTGATCAAGTGGAAGGATTTACTAGAATATGAATTGATATGGGAGCCCTACAGTACTATTTAGAAGCAATTTTTCTTTTTCCACCTTGAGGACAGGGTGACTTTTTGGGAGGGGAGTATTGATGCAGCTGACAGCAAGAGTCCAGCTGCCCATGTGGGGCCCAAGCCTCCTTTATAACCTATAGGAGAATAGGCTTTTAGAGAAAACTCTTTGGGAAAGGGGTGACTCTTTGGGAAAGATGTAAGGGGCATTCATTAGGGGAGTTGAGTTATTTAAGGGAGAAGATTATGGTGGGTTAGGATTTTTTATGTTACGTTTGAAATTTCTGCAGCAGTTTTTGTGAGGTATTTGGGTTTCTAGTAGCTGCTAGAAATTGTGGGAGAGACGATTCACCTCTCGAACAGTGAATCAATTTGTATCTTGTCTTATTTTACTTGAAAATTAATAAAAACAGCTGTCTTTGTGTTATTTCTGGATCTATTTGGAATAAGTTGTTATTTTTTATATTGTTGCATGCTGTTTTGATCATCAAGTCCTATCAGTATCAAACCCATTCAATTGCAAAAATTAACAGCTCGTTAGATCACTCATATATAACTATAATTTTAAGTAACCAACAGTGAGTAAAAATAATAAAGGCCACAAATAATTTTCTGCATCAATAGAAACTACAAAACTTATAGAAATAAAACAGGTGCTATAATATAAAAAAAAAAAAACAAATGGAAAAGTGATGTGACAATACCATAACTAAACTCATAAAACTTGGGAGACTTTTAAATCAGTAGTAGGCATGCTAACAACAAGAAATAGAAGTAATACCACATCAAAATTGAGATATTTTTATTAAGTTCCCAACATTTTTTATACATGGAGGCATGTGATGATGAACAGATCGGTTAGTTTCAGCATCTTCTCCGATAGCTAGCTATTAAGATTCCCATAAAAACCTGAGGTGATAAAACGATATTGAAAATATGGAAATATTTTAAAATAAACCATAACAAATTACTTCCACTCACTACAACCATCGAACAGAGTTGATCAATTTACTTGACCAAAACGTAAATTATTATGCTGGTTAACAAGGCATTTTAACAGAGGATAAGTTGAAAATAAACAATAAATTCCAGAATTGGCTTGACGAGATTGTTTTCGAGAAATAAATTCTCAGAAAAAGTTTATAGTGCTCATTAGCTAGTCAATCATAGATAATAGTAAAAGCCAATTGAGGTTTTACCTGATGATGATGAGTTGAACAAATTTTTTAAAGCATGCCCAGAGAGAAGATCAATCGGGACATCAACTGCCCATGCGTCAAAAGTCAAAACTTCTTTAGTTCAACAAGCTTCTAGTAGTCAAGTCCATTGTTGGAATGCTTATGAAAAATATAATGATGAAAGACATCAAACAACAATTACATGCCAAATGCTCTGTTGTATACATTTCCTGAACTTGGAATGTGAAATCTATATTCAGCCCTGCCAACATAAGGATTATTTAGCCCAAAAGACTCATTCTTAATGCAATCAGTCAAGCTCATAGCAGTACCAGATTGCTTATTACTCCAACCATCCCAGTGGGTATTCGAGATAGGTGAGGTTCTAGGCTGCTGCAGTGACAGCTGTACCAAAGGAGATAAACTGCTATAGTTTTGTGGGAAGTGATAGGACATGGCATACGAATCATTAAGAGGCAAGAAATTTTCCCTTACAGGGTCAGAAATTCTCATATTTTGATAAGAAATAGATCGCTTCATAAGTAGCTGATCTATCAGGTCACCCTCAGATCTGAACCGTTCAGGAAAAGCAGAACCCAAACCATTGTTAATACTGGTTCCAAGTGGCATATGGCCTTTACCAACAGCCATTATTGCTGGGTCAATAAATTCCAAATCAACAGAATTTTCAGTTGGATGAACTTCATACTGATTCCTAAATAGAGAATTACCATGTAGATGATTCTCTAAAAGAATATAATAAACAAATTAGTTAGCTTACGACTCAGCAAAGAAGTCTGGAACAGATTCAAGTGCACAAACCTGGAACTGTTGCCATTAAATTGTGTTCGTAACGATCTTGATCAGAAAACCCAGGGGGAGGTGCTCCGCTTGGCACTGAGAATCCAGGTGGAGCCAACATTTTGATCCTTGAAACACCTATGAGAATTGATGATACATGTGCAGGATAGCGAATAGCAATAGATTCAGTAATACTATAAAGAATTTTTCAGTTAAATGGTCAAATAAAGAACAAAGATGGCAGGCATAATGGGTGAGGACATATCTTGTAACAGAAATTACAGAAATTTATCAGGGAAAAAAGCTAGAGGCATGAAATCACTATTTTCATTAATACAATGAGGTTGCAGTGTAATGGGTTTCTACAATGCAGTAATTTGTTCAATTTGGCAGGGACTGTTGCATTTAAGGTGGAGATTGAGCTGGTGATTTCATGCCAACGGATAAGATCATTGCTTTTGCAATAGTGGCTAAGATGGCCTGCAGTTTTATGCAATAGGCAGTTTTATACAGTTATCACCTCCCCGCAGATTGGATAGTCATCTTGTTTCGTAACTGATTGAAGAGTGAGATGGATGATGCTTTGGTGAAGATATCAACTGAGAAGCTACATGGTGGATAAATATTTCTTGTGATTTAATACAATTACGAATAAAATGAGACAATTCGAATGTGCTTCATTCAAGCATGGAAAGCTAGATTGCTCGTGAGTGCCATATTATCATAGTATAAGGTGTTTGTTGCGGAAGATGGGTATCAAATTCTTGCAATGAATGATGTAGCCAAAGAATATCAATGACAACAGTAGCTAGGGCATGGTATTTGGCTTCCATGGATACCGCGTATTGCTTCTTGACATGCCTGGAATTTAGTGTTACTAGGAAGGCAAGGTAAATGGTCATCAATTTCCTATCTGTGATGTCAATGGCCCATTCTAATTCAGATTAAGCTCACAAGTGAAGATAATCCAGAATAATGGGAAGGTTGTAGGTTATTGTACCTGGAATGTATAAGAGCAGTTATTTAAGGCTTTGGAAGTGGATGTTGTGAGGTTTGTACAAGTGTAGGTACACTCGGTTTACAGCAAAGGAGATGCCAACAAGATTCCTGTAAAGTTTGGCTTACGCCATGTAATCAAGTGCACAATACTATAGAGAGCCAACAAGACACCTGTAAAGTTTGTGCTTGGCAAATACAAAGTTCAAGAGCTCATTGATGGGTAGTTTCACTTAAAGCAGGTTCTTGACTAGCTTTCTGTTAGGCCGGCCCAAGAGGGGCCGGCTGTCCCTATTGAACAGGTCCCTAGTGGACCGGTTTTATACTACAGCCGCCGGCGGCCGGCCCAAGGAAGGGAGAGGGAAGGGGCCAACTGCTCCTATGGGGCCAACACCTTGATTAATAATTGCTTTGGAGGGAAATATTTGAATGAGGGGATGTTTAGGGATTTTGTATTACTCTGGTTTTAATTAGTTGATAATGCTAGAATTAGAGTTTCATCTTGAGTTTGAAATCAAATTTGAGATCTAGGGTTTGTTCATTTGGGCTCTAGGCTTGGCTAGAGATTTGGAGAGTTGTTTCTTCCTCTCGAATTGAAGAAACTTGTATCGTTAACTGTTTTCCTTGTTCGTGGATTGAATAGAAGAAGTTTGTTTGTGATTTTCTCTCCAATTTCCTGAAAATTCTGCATCGTAGTGCTGATTTCTCTCTAAAATCAGCAGTTTTCTTGTTGTTTTTCACCAATCACTGTTAGGTTTGCTTGCGAACTCAAGTATTTCCCTTAGGGTTACTTGCGAACTCAAGTATTTCCTATCAAATTGGTATTAAAGCATTGTCTTGGGACCATCGACGGTTGAAATTTTGAAATTTCAGTGGAGAAAGTTCATCCGGAAGAAGATCTTCTTGTAAATCTTGGGAAGAGTTATGGCCGGGAAGAAGGTTGAAGTATTGGAAGGAGAAATTGGGCAACTAAAATCAGATTTGAAGGAAAAATTTTCTGATTTTCAAAATCATATTTCATCCAATAATGAAAGGATGGAAGGGAAGTTCGTCATGATGGAAGAGATGTTGAAGAAATTGCTCGAAGTGAAGACCAATCCGGCGACATCGGAAGCAAGGGAAACCATCGGTGGCCATGGAAGAGGTGGAAACCCTAACATGTTTAGGGGAAGGGAAAATCAGGAAGTGGAGATCTTGGAGGGTGAAGGTGGAATGCCTCATCTAGAACCACTTTCTAGAGAGGAGATAAGCACTGGCTTCGAAAGAAGGGTTGCTGATTTTGTAGGGAGAAGGGAGAATTTCTACTGCAGAGGGGCTGAACTTGAAAGAAGAAGAGCGGAATTCGATGAAGGGGTTGAGTATGATCGTCGGAGGGAAGATCCTGACAACTGGAGAGCACCTCCTCTTCATGGAATTGGAGGATATGGAGGATTCAGGGGTAATGGGGGTGACCCGAAGGTGAGGAAGCTGAAAATGCCCATCTTTGAGAGCGAGGATGGCCATGGTTGGATCTACAAGGTGAAACGATATTTCTCCGTCAACGGATTGACGAAGGAAGAGAAGCTGAAAGCTGCAGGACTATGTTTGGAGGGAAAGGCACTAGCGTGGTACCAATGGCGTGACATGAGGCAACCCATCAGAAGTTGGAGGGAGCTCAAAGAGTGCTTACTATAATATTTTTGAACCGATAGGAGACTTTTATGAGCAATTCTTTTTCATAACATAGGAGGGAACCGTGGCAGATTATCGTGACAGGTTCGAGTAGTTGGCTACATTGGACCGACTCTTTGAGAGAGTGCTCAAGGAGAACTTTATGAAAGAGATTAAACCGGAGATACAGGTAGCGGTTAGAGTGATGAGGTTAAGAGACCTGGGGGAGGCCATGGAGCTAGCCCAGGTGGTGGAGGATCAAAAGCAGTTGGAGAGAGGGGCTAGAGGGAGAAACTCGGGGGGGGGGGGGGGGGGGGGGGGGGGGGGGGGGGGTCGTACAGGATGACCACCACCTTCTTAGCTCCCAAGGGGTCAGCATCAGAGAATCTGAAGGAAGTGCCCAAAGAGAGAACAAGATGAGGGGGAAATGGGGGAAGTTTGAAAAGGTTGATGAAGAAGGATATACAAAAGAAAAGGGCGAAATGGTTGTGTTTTAGATGTGATGAGAATTACATGTCGGGGCATAGGTGTAAGGATTGAACTCTTCAGGTTCTCACAGTCTGTGATGACGAGGAAGCTGAAGGGGAGGTGGAAGCGGGTTAAAGATGGAGGAAGAGGAGAGTTGCATCTTGATGTGGCAGAAGTCTCTGTAAACTCAATGGTGGGATTCACTCTGAATCACACTATGAAAGTGAAGGGAGAGATAGCTGATAAAGAGGTAGTGATGATAGATAGTGGGGCAACCCATAATTTCATCTCTACCCAGATTGCAGATCTATTATGGGTGAAATTAATGGATACATGAGGCTATGGGGTGATGATGGGCACAGGAAAGGTGAAAATGGGTAGAGGAGTGTGTAGGGGAGTAGTGTTGACCACTTAGGGGATCCAAGTGAGGGAGAACTTTCTTCCCTTGGAGTTGGGAAAAAATGATGTCATCCTGGGGATAAATGATTGCAAACCTAGGGGGAGACCGAGGTCAAAAAGAAGGATGGACGCTGGTGGTTTTGTGTGAATTACAAGGCGTTGAATAATGAGACTGTACAGGATAAAATTTCTCATTCCGATGATCGATGAACTATTAGATGAGTTGTATGGAGCAGTAGTGTTTTCCAAGATCGACTTGAAGTCGGGCTACCATCAAATCAGGATGAAGAAGGATATTCAGAAAACGGCCTTCAGGACACATGAGGGGCACTACGCGTTCTTGGTGATGTCATTTGAGCTCACTAACGCCCCTGCTACTTTTCAGTATTTGATGAATAGGTATTCCGGCAGTACATCAGGAAGTTTGTTCTGGTATTTTTTTATGACATTCTGGTGTACAACAAAACGGATGAGCATCTGGAGCACTTAAAGGAGGTTCTGAAGGTTTTACAAGAGCATCAGCTGGGGGACAACCTAAAGAAATGCAGCACTAACACCCCTACTACTTTTCAGTCTTTGATGAATAGGATATTCCGGCAGTACCTCAGGAAGTTTGTTCTGGTATTTTTTTATGAAATTCTAGTGTACAACAAAACGGATGAGCATCTGGAGCACTTGAAGAGGTTCTGAAGGTTTTACAGGAGCATCAGCTAAGGGCCAACCTAAAGAAATGCAGCATCGCCCAGTCGAGCGTGGAGTACTTGGGTCATGTAGTATCCCACAAGGGAGTGGCGACTGATCAAACAAAATTTGAGGCAATGCAGAAATGGCCTATGCCTAGGAATATAAGAGAGTTGAGGGGTTTCCTAAGACTGACTAGGTACTATAGGAGATTTGTGAGGGGGTACAATACCATAGCTTGGCCTTTGACCGAGCAACTAAAGAAGGACACTTTTTTGTGGGGAGAGGTAACAACCCAGGCTTTTGAGAGATTGAAGAAAGTCATGATGACATTCCCAGTTTTAGCTCTTCCGGACTTCAGCCAGATCTTTGTAGTGGAGACCGATACATTAAGGTATGGATTGGGGGCAGTGATGATGCAGAATCATAGACCAATAGCATACTTTAGTCAAGTACTATCAACTAGGGATAGATTAAAGTCGGTGCATGAGAGAGAGTTGATGGTCATTGTCTTGGTTATTCATAAGTGGCACCCTTATCTTTTTGGTAGTCATTTCATTATCCGGGCGGATCAGAGGAGCCTGAAGTATCTGTTAGAGCAAAGGTTGGTGACCGAGGAGCATCAGAGATGGTTGTCCAAATTGTAAGGCTATGATTTTGAGATCCAATACGAGCCTGGGGTGGAAAATAAGGTGGCTAATGCCTTATCTAGATGTGTTGGGGAACTTCAAGAGTTGGCGGTTTCAATACCACTGATGGTAGACCAGGGGGCCATCAAGGAAGAAAGCATGCTGAATGAAGAGTTGAGAAAGATTAGGAAGGATTTGATGGGAGATAATAGTAGCCATTCTGGTTACTATATTGAGGGGGAGAGGTTGTTGTATCAAGGGAGATTTGTGAGACCACGAACTTCCATACATATTCCTCACTTGTTAAAGGAATTT